TTCTGTTAGGTATGTTGTAGTATCTTATGGTTTTTATTTGCAGTACCTTCCCAACTAATGATTATGAACATCTTATCATGTGCTCATTTACTATTTGTATTTTCATTGACTTGTTTCTTCAAATTTTTTGGTCATTTTCCTATTTGGTTGCTTGTCTTATTATTGAATTGTAATAATTTCTTGTCTGTTCTTGGATATCATTTATCTGATAGACAGGTATGTACTAAATGTTTTTCTCATTCTGTGGTTTCTCTTTTGATTTCTTAGCAGTGTCTTTCAAAGAGCAGTTTTTAATTTTTTAAATCTGATATAACAACTACTGTATGGCTCAGGCTCTTTATATCTTAATTAAGAAACCTTTGTGTACTCCCAAGGTCATGAACACTTACTCCTATATTTTTTTTGAAGCTTTATTGCTGTAGCTTTTATATTTGGTGGTGATTAATTTCATTGCATTTTTTTTTCCTACATGAGTACTTAATTGTTCTAGCACCATTCATTGAAAAAGACTCCTTTCCCTATGGAATTGTCTTGGCATCTTTGTTGAAAATCAATTGACAATATGTATGTAAGAGTCTGTTCCTGGATGCTACTCTGTTCTACTGATTTATTATATCTGTCTTCTTTTTTATCAATCCTACACTGTTTTTATTGCTGTAACTTTTTTGTAAGTCTTAAAATCAAATAGTGTAAGTCAGCCTACTTTATTCTTTGGGAAATAGATTTGGCTTTTCTAGGTCATTTGCATTTCAATATATATCATAGAATATATATAATAATCCTAATTTTTATAAAATATTCTTTTTTTAATTGGACTTTTTATTTTTTTATTTTTATTTTTAAAGATTTTATTTATTTATTCATGATAGTCACACAGAGAGAGAGAGAGAGAGAGAGAGAGGCAGAGACACAGGCAGAGGGAGAAGCAGGCTCCATGCACCGGGAGCCCGACGCGGGACTCGATCCAGGGTCTCCAGGATCGCGACCCGGGCCAAAGGCAGGCGCCAAACCGCTGCGCCACCCAGGGATCCCTAACTGGACTTTTTAATGGACTTTTTATTGGATTATTGTATCAGTACTTCATTCTTTTTTGTGTCTGTATAATATTCCATTGTGTTGGATAGAGCACATTGTGTTTACCTGTTGATGAACATATGGGTTGTTTGCACTTTTTGGCTATTGTGAACAGTGCTACTCTTAATATTTATGTGTGAGTACCTGTTTTCACTTCTTTTGGGTGTATATCTAGGAGTGAAAATGCTGAGTTGTATGGTAATTCTGTGTTCAACTTTAGAAGAACTACTAAACTGTTCTTTTCAGCTGTTGTACCATTTGCAATGTGTGTGTGGGGTCCAATTTATCCACATCTTCGTCAGCATTTGTTTTCCTTTCTTTTAATAACCACCATCCTAGTGGGTATAAAGTGGTATCTCACTGTGGCTTTGATTTACAGTTCTCTAATTACCAACGATACTGAGCATCTTTTTTATGTTCTCTTTGGCCATTTGTATATCTTCTTTGGGAGAAATGTCTTTTCAAGTCTTTGCCTATTTTTTATCTAGATTGTTTGAGATGAGTTGTTATAGCTATATACTCTGGATACTAGACCCTTGTTAGATATGTAATTTGTGAATATTTACTCCCATTCTGTAGGTTCTCTTTTCATTTTCTTTTTTTTTTTCTTTCTTTTTCTTTTCATTTTCTTGATGTCCTTTGATGCAAAAAAGCTTTTAGTTTTGGGGCACCTGGGTGGCGCAGTGGGTTGTGTCCGACTTTTGGTTTCAGCTCGGGTTGTGATCTTGGGGGTCATGAGATTGAGCCCAGCATTGGGCTCCAGCTCAGTGCAGAGTTTGCTTAAGTTTCTCTCTCCCCCCCACCCTTGCACACTCCCTCTCTCTTAAAAAAAAAAAAAAGCTTTTAGTTTTTTTTTTAATTTTTTAAAAAATTTTATGATAGTCACACACACAGAGAAAGAGAGAGAGAGAGAGAGAGAGAGAGAGAGAGAGAGAAAGAGAGGCAGAGACACAGGCAGAGGGAGAAGCAGGCTCCATGCACCGGGAGCCCGACGTGGGATTCTATCCCGGGTCTCCAGGATTGCTCCCTGGGCCAAAGGCAGGCGCTAAACCGCTGCGCCACCCAGGGATCCCCAAGCTTTTAGTTTTTATGAAGTCCAATTTAACCTATTTTTTTCTTTTGTTGTTCATACTTTGGTGTCATACCTAAATATTCATTGCCAAATCCAAGATCATGAATATCAGCCTCCGTGTTTTCTTAAAGTTTTATAGTTTTAGCTATCTTATATTCAGATTGTTAATCCATTTTGAGTTAGCTTTCATACATAATGTGAAGAAGGATTCACTTTCATTCTTTAGCATGTGAATATCCAGTTGTCCCAGCACCATATTTTGAAGAGGCCAAATTTTCCCCATTGCATGATGTTGGCACCTTTGTTGAAAATCAGTTGGCCATAGATGTATGGATTAATCTGGGCTCTCAATACTATTCCTTTGGTCTATTCTCATGGCACCACACAAGTGGATACTTTTTATTTTTGTAGAACAAAGGCACACTTGGAAGATACTATGGGTTTGACTCCAGACCACCACAGTAAAGCAAGTATCACAATAAAGCAAGTCAAATGAAGTTTTTAGTTTTCCAGTGTATGTAAAAGTTACATTCACACTATACTGTAGTCTAATTGTGTAATATTATGTCTAAAGAAAACAATGTACATGTCTTCTTTTAAAAATCCTTTATTGCTAAGAAAATGCCAACTGTCACTTGAGCTTGTAGCGAGTCAAAATCACTGATCACAGATCACCATAAAAAATGTAATAATAATAAAAAAATGTAATAATAATGAAAAGGTTTGAAACATTATAAGAATTACCCAGATGTGGCACAGAGACACAAAGTGAACAGATGCTATTGGAAAAATGGTGCCAGTAGACTTGCTCCATGTAAGGTTTGCTGCAAACCTTCAGTTTGTAAAAAAAAAAAACCACTATCTGTGAAACCACAATAAAGCGAAGCACAGTAAAAAGGAACTATGCCTGTACATTAGTATAGTGTATTAATTTTTAAAGTTTTGAATACATTTTAGAAATTTTTTAAATGTTGGGTAAGTTCATTAAAGAAACTATCTCCTCTAAGTATCAGATTTATATAAACTCTAAGTGCCACACATATATAAACTTAGTGGATAATTTTGTTTAAAAATTTTTAGTGTGTCTTTTTCTATGGCTGCATACAGAATTGTGATTTAGATATGCAGTATATCAGGATGTGTTCCAATTGAATTTTTTACTGTGGATTGAACAACCTTGGGCCTTTAAATGAAGAACTAGGTACATACATAATAAATTCAACCTGCCAAAAGATGTTGGTGCCAGCTCTAGAAGAATTGGAATAGAAATAGTCTGCAGATTTGCATCCACCAGGAAGGAGTCACAAATCTATAGTTTCTAGAGAAAAAAGGCTAGGAACACTGCTTTTTTACTCAAGTCATGGTTTTTAACTTTAATCAGTACAACAAGACTTTTAGTACTTTAAGGATCAGAATATGATATGCTTCTGAGGTCTCTCTCTTTTTTTTTTTTTTTTCCCTGAGGTCTCTTGTTACCTATAATTTTTCTCTTCTCCTCTCTCCCTCCCCCATAATAATTTATTTACTGAAGAAGTTGGGCTGTTTGTCCTGCTGTTTCCCACAGTCTGACTTGAGCTAATTGAACCCCTGTGGCACAGTTTACTGTGTTCTCTACCTTCTTTATTTCCTGTAAATTGGTAGTTCAGCATACGGAGATCTAGAGACTGGATCCGATTCAGATAAAAACTTTTTTTGTTACATGTTGCCGTCATAGGTGATGGTTGTGTCTTCCATTGAGAAGCACATAATACCTGCTTATCTCTCTTTTTCATGATGTTAATTTTACTTTGATTCATTTTAGTTTTAGCAATTCAAAGAGTTTTAGAGAGACGATGTGGTGTGGATGTTAAGATATAAGCTCTAGAGCTCAAGAGTCTTGGTGTATGTTTTCATTTATTATCTACTAGTTCTTAGAAAGTCACTTTCCCTTATGAGCGTTAGGTTTCTTATCTGTGAAATGGGGATGATGATGCCTATTCATTGGGTCGTTTTCAGGGTTCAGTGAGAAAATGCATGGAAAGGCACCTTGCACAGAGCCTGGCATATAGTTAGTGACCAATATGTGCTAGCTGTTGTTCTGTGAATTCAAAAATATTCTGGAATAATCTGAAAGGAAGATTATCTCGATTAATAAGTGAGGATTTTTTTTTTTTTTAAGATTTTATCTGTTTAAGAGAAGAGTGAGAGAGGGAAAGAGAGCACAGAGGGAGAGCAAGAAGCAGACTCCCTGCTGAGCGGAGAGCCCGATGCAGGGCTTGATCTCAGAATCCTAGGATCATGACCTGAGCCAAAGGCAGATGCTTAACTGAGCCATCCATGTGTCGCTATAAGTAAGGAAATCAAAGTTTGGAGAGCTAATTTTTTGGCTTACCTGGGTATACTTAGGAAAAAGAGTAAGTCAGTTGTTCAACTGAGGTTAATAGCTCTCCTTTGTTCCCATCAATGTGTATAGTTCTATTTGGTAACCACTCATAGTAAGCTTCGTTTCTTTTTTTTTTTTTTTTTAATTTATTTATTTATGATAGTCACACACAGAGAGAGAGAGAGACAGAGACAGAGACACAGGCAGAGGGAGAAGCAGGCTCCATGCACCGGGAGCCCGATATGGGATTCGATCCTGGGTCTCCAGGATCGCGCCCTGGGCCAAAGGCAGGCGCCAAACCGCTGCGCCACCCAGGGATCCCGTAAGCTTCATTTCAAACATGGTTTTTGCCCATGCTTCGTGTATATTCACATTAACTGGCCCCCAACTTGAGTTGGGAAGTAGACTCTTTGTTAAATAAAGTGTATAAAACACATTTTATGCTTGAAGTCCACTGAGAAGTACTTACTGTCAAATGTTTTTATTTTACAGTGTAATGTTCAGGCTCAGAAATGCCTTATGTGGATCGTCAGAATCGCATTTGTGGTTTTCTAGACATTGAGGAAAATGAAAACAGTGGGAAATTTCTTCGAAGGTACTTCATACTGGATACCAGAGAAGATAGTTTTGTATGGTACATGGATAATCCACAGGTTTGTAAAATCCAAATGGTTACCTTTTTTTCAAAAGCACACAAGAATTTTAATTATTAAAGTACTTTAACATACTATATGGGTGTTATGATTTGTTTTCTCAGTCTGTGGGTAGATTTATTTCTACTGGCTGCATTCTTCCCGTCCTGCATGCTGAATGTCTGCTATCTTACTTGAATTTCAGAAAATGAAACTAAGTTTATTTAATAAAAATTTGTGCATGCATATATGTTTTTTATGGCCCTCCCCCACCCTGGAGGAGAAATGCTATCTCTGACAGAGAATTCAGAAATCATTTAAATAAAAGATACTGTCTCTAGGATAGAGACTGCAGTCTTTTGGTAAAGAAACTACTTGAGCTAGTTGACACTCTTGTGCATGTGTAGTCCTTTCATCTTGTAGTGGCAGATTTGAGTGTTAGCCAGTGTAATGCCATTCATGAACTGAAATGCACTTTGATTTTTTTTTTTTTTGTTGCCTTTCAAATCAGTGGGGAAATGTTATAAATTAAAAATTAGAATCCCTGTTTTAAGATCTGTGAAAGACCTTGTCGAGTAGTTTTCTCTCCTTGTGAAACTCTTCATTCAAATTGGGATGGATGTTGCAAGGATGAGTCCCTAGCAAACGTCTAAGCTGATCCTGTCTAGTCAAGGGAGGAGTGGGGAGTGGTAGGAGGTTTCATTCTGTTTCACAAAGAAGGAGCTAGATCCTCTGACAACCATTCTAGTATTCTTTACCACCCTGTACTTACTTCAGGTTAGACAAAATGCCATGTACTAATGCATTTATATTTGTTCATATAGAATTCAAATTGTAAGGCATCTTAGCACAAATTCCACCTCCTTAATGCAGGAAACTTGCCTATCCCTGATCTTCACTTTAGCAGTTGCTTGAATTATACATTATGAAAAAGCACTTATGATATTTGTGATGCTCTAATTATTACTTGCTCTGTGAGCCAAAATCTATTTTCTTGTATCTGTTCCCCATTAACCTACCCTGTCCTATGATACTCTATAAAGTAAGTTTAGTCCTTTATCCAGACACAGCGTTTTAAATTTTGGATGATAATTTGTATTTTAATTCAGTGTAGATTATTTGAGTGCTGACTTTGAGACTTTTTTTTCCCTAGGAACTGTCTACTCTCTAGCCTTATCCTTATAGAGCTTATTAACACTGTTTTACTGCCTTATCTTTGGGTGTAACTACCTTTCTTGGGTGGTAGTAATCTGGCTATGCAACTACATGATTAATATCTTTATTTACTTGGCCAGAGTCAGTGGAAGAAGGAACAGGTCAGCAGAAATCAAAAGTTCACATTTATTTATTGTATTTTTTACATAGATTTCTCCCCTTTATGACCCCATCTTTTTATCTGTGGTTCAGTGCCCTCCCAAACTCTTTTGCAAAGTGGAAAGTAACTTAATTCCCCTTGACTCCTTCTCCTTGCTCGATACTAGATCCTGGTTTCCGGTTCTTCTCACCTGCACAGGCCTTTGCACAGTTCTGGCCTGAGCTCTTCCTGGTTTGTCTCTCTTCACAAGACCTGGTGGTGATAGATATGGTTTCTCCCAAATTGTATTTAAAGCTTCTTGGTTGTTTTTCCTTTCTTCATAATACTAGATTGTCCCTTCAGAATTCCTCCTTTTATCAGCATTTCCCACCTACAGCTCAATTAAGGTGATCACAAAATGGACTATGTTTATTACACCAAAGGAAACATGAACTTAGAATTGAGTTAAGTCCTTCTTGGACATAGTAGCATTCAAAATTGACCCAGAGGGTGGATACGATTTTGGCTAAGAGATGGAGAATTGAGTATTCCAGTGCTCAAAGAATAGCGTGGGCAAAGAAATCCAAGCAAGGAAGCTGGTGGCATGTGTGGAGAATAGGTCACCTTGTCTGTAGCAGGGAGGGTGTATATTAAAATTTGCATTGAGCTAGATCTTTTGCACTCAGCTGGAGCTTTTTCATATGAACTGTTCTTTTGTTTTTTTTTTTTTTTTTAAGTTGTGATTTTTTAAAGTTTCTTTATTTAAGTAAACCACCCCAGTGAGGAGCTCAAGCTTATGACCCCCAGATTGAAAATTGCATGCTCTTCTGACTGAACCAGCCAGGTGCCCCAACATGAAGTCTTTAAAAGCCAGATTTCTATGGTGTAATTAGCACATTGGTTTTTATAAATGTAGTACAGAATTTTAAATCTGTTTATTTAGTGCTTAATAATTTTAATTCTTCATGCTGATAAGAATCTTTTACAATCTTGACTCTGTAGCCAGTGAATTAGCGATCAGTATACCAGCGTTGTGTCATTTTTAAATGTATTAAGTCACATAGCTCCTGATGAAAATTTTAGTAGAATGTCTTGCTAAGATTATTGCGTTAGGTTGAACCACATGAAATTTCCAATATGTCACCATTTTGATCTACTAAAAAAAAAAATAGACCATTTCATGATTCAATGTAATTTGCATATGTTACAGCACTATAACACACTTCTGCTGATCATAATAAATAAATAACTCTGATAATGAAAAGGAAGTCAGTTTGGCTCACCTGTCCTTACGGAGCCATTCTTCCTACATTTTCCTTTCTTTACCACTAAGCCGTTGGTTTAGAAGTCCATTCTAGTGTATTACTAGGGATCCATTCAGAGCTTTCTATGTTTTGTTGGGATGTGTGCAATGGTGAAGAATTAAATAATGGAGTATCTGTATCAGGAACTGACTTCGAAGAAACTTGAAAAAGTATTTTGGCAAAAGAAGTATAGGAACACTTAAGAACAAATGGCTCATTTTCCTTTTTATTGTAAATGTCACTAGTTGATTATTTCTTGTTCACTGTCAGGGAACCGATTTTGAAAGCTACTTTTTTTTGTAGTTGAACTTGGCAGTAATCATACTGATCCATAGAAACTAGGTATTTTGAATATTCTCTCTCTCAGCTTCTTATATTTCCCTATACTAGACTACTGTTTAATCTGTGACCCTTCATGTCATGTGGCCATGACATAGTTCTTATTTCTCTTCCTCATACAAAGGCTTAGAACAGCTAGTTAAAATAATAAATTTTTGGAGGACTTAAAAGAAAAATAACAATTTTGAATGGAAGTGTTTCAAACGCAGCAGCGTTTGAAAAATCACTTTAATAGTAGTTAGGGGGTCTTGAAGACATTTTAACATTTCATTTCCTTATCCAAAATTTAAAAAAAATCAACAAAGCAACCTCTAAACATAAGACATTTTGTATAAGAACACAGCCATATAAAAGTGTACCTTAAAAATTATAATTTTATTTTATATACATATTTATGGTTTATACTTAGGAGCCTGAACATAGTATATAGTTTAAAGCAAAACATACACTGGGTGTTATTCTGTATGTTGGCAAATTGAACACCAATAGAAAATAAATTTATTATTAAAAAAGAAGCAAAACATAATGCAGTTTACATAGGAGTGAAAGTTTTGAAAAGACCTATCCCTGTCAACAATAATGAAGTTTATGTTTGGGGATCTTAAGTCTTTGAAATGTGTAGGCTTTTATATAATTAATTGTTTCCAGTAAGCTTAGAGAGAGATCCGGGAAAGGTACCTCCTAATCATTCATAAAAACAAAGCCAAAGTTTTTCCTTTTAATGTACATTATGTTAAAGTCAGTTAAAAAGTTGAGCTTGGTTAATCTACAATGAAAGGAACTTTTAGAGTTAATATTGTTTTAATTTTACTTTTAAAGTCTTTTATCAGTGTTTTCTTTTCTATTCTTTATTATTTTTTTCCAGATATTTTTATCTGGTGTTTCTGCCTCCATCTCCCACCTCTACAGTCCGTCCAGTTTATTGTATTACAGGATATATCAAGGCACAGTTTTGATTACAGAATGCCCACAAGCTTTCGCTAATGGTTCAAATTCTTAACAGTATAAGTTCTTTGCTACTTCTTTATTTAGGTCCTGTATAGTTAGGTTCTCGGTTCAAGTTCCCAAACCACCATTTTCTACTCCAACCCTATGTAGCCATTTTTCCATTGTAGTACAAAGCCTCTGGGTGTCCTCCTTGTAGCTCCTCTGCTTTCTCCACCTGGAATATTCTCTCTTCTGCTGTTTGCGTTTCAGGTTTTTCCTTTAAAGACCAACTTAAATGCTATTCATTTCTCCACAGAGTCTTTCCTGATAGTCTGCCAGAAATGATTTTCCCTCTTCTTAATTCTTTTTTAGCTCTTCTAAGATCCAAAACCCTCCCTAGAATTGTTAAGGGAAGAATAGAAATATTTTAGTTGAAGTGTCAATGTATACATTTTCTACATATGGCTTAAAGAGTATTGGTTAATAATTATTTTGAAAAAGTGGTATCAGTGTAGATAAAATATGGCATGATTAAATACTAATGTATTTAAATGAGGGAAATCAATTTTTTGAGGGATATACTTGATAAAAATTTTTAATAGAATAATTTGTATAGTCTTTTGAAATTTCTTATGATTGTATTTATGTCTCTAAGTATTTTTTTTCCCCATTGCCTTTAGGAACAAAATCCAGTCTTGTTTTTGGCTTTAAAGAAAAGTTTAGCTACAATGACAAAAATAGTCTTTTAGTTATAGAATGTATTATGGTGGAGCAAAATAGAGTTCAGTTTTGTTATCCACATTGTCAACTTGATTTATAAATTCTTTTTTTTTTTTTTTGATTTATAAATTCTTGAACTGAAAAAGTTGATTTGAAAAAAAAAGTTGATTTGTAAAATATATCAAAAATTCTAATTTCTTAGCTTTATATAGTATGTGTAGAACATTCTAATGTAAAATAGATTAATGTTGGATTTTAACTATATATTAATAATTTGTTTCCAGAACTTACCTTCTGGATCATCACGTGTGGGAGCCATAAAACTTACCTACATTTCAAAGGTAGTTTTTCTATATTGTTTCACATTCATGCATGAATTAAAATTCCTTGGAATGAGATTGTGAATAAAAGGAGCAGTTTCCTTTCTGTGTTATTTAGTGCTGATGTTTGGGTCATATCATGCTAAAAATAGAACCTGATCACTGTGTATAGGAAATTCTTTGATAAAATTAGGAAGAATATGCTGTTAATTTACACGATGTGGCAAATTGCAAAAGTTAACATTAACTTTTATGATTGGGAGAGACGTCAAAAGGACTAAGATCAGTTAACAGCTTCTGTCTTTGGGAAATCTGGAGAAGATTTTGTCTAAGTCTGTATTTAAACTGTTACCAACTTTTAATCCCATTACCTTTGATTTTTTATGTTTTATTTTGAAGAAAATAAGAACCATCTTCCTGATTAAAAAAAATGGTTTCTCCCTCATTTCACATTATTTCTGTTTTCTGTTTTCTTGTTTCTGAAATTTTTGCAGTCCTATTTTCTCAAAAATTTAGATTTGATATTTTCAGGTGTTTTTGCCCCTTTATTTTATTGGGGTTTTGGAAAATGAGATAGCGATGTTGAGGAGCTAGATCAATGGGGTTTTTATACAAAGTAATGTTTGTAGATGACTTAAGTTACAAGATGTGAATAGTAACATTAAGTCATATGCATGTGCATACTTTTATGCTTATAGTGGAATTTGTTAGCAAAGGTCTTCAAGAGAAGACCAGTTTACAAGTGTGCCTCTGTTTAAAGGACATTTTTATTGATAAAGTGCTTTGTTTTCAGCATCGTTCTCATTGACAAAAAGAGAAAAGCAGCCCTTGCACAATAAATACATATTTAAAGGGCAACATTTTATTATTTTTAAAAATTAAAACCATATTATTTAATTTATAAAAGACAAGGATTGTTTAAGTATACCTCAAGTGTTCCAGTAAATTAAGACATTTACTAAATGCTTCAGGGTAACCTGCTTAAATTCTTTTTTTTTTTTTTTTTTTTTTTTAAGATTTTATTCGTTTTTTTGGAGACAGAGTGAGCATGAGCATGAGAGGGAGAGGGAGAAGCAGAGTCCCCTCTGAACAGGGAGCCTGATGCCAGGCTCCATCCAAGGACCCTAGGATCATGACCTGAGCCTAAGGCAGATGCTTAGCCAACTGAGCCAGCCAGGTGCCCCTAAATTCTGTAGCGATTGTTATTAGGAAGCATAGAATTCTACTGTAAAATAAACTGTAGTCCCTTGTAGTCTTACTTGCCTACAATATATGTGTACTGTAATGTGAATATGCTGCCAGGTATTTTTAATATTTGATTTATTTATTCATGAGAGACACAGACAGAGACATAGGCAGAGGGAGAAGCAGGCTCCCCACAGGGAGCCCCATGCAGGACCGATCCCCAGACTGGGATCCCTCTCTGAGCTGAAGGCAGAAACTGAGCCACTCAGACGTCCCACTGCCAGGCATTTTTGACTCTCAATGCAATGATGAGGAATAGGCAGTTGAGAGATTGACCATGTGCTTGTATCTTTTCGATTGTTTGTTGCCTGGTCTTTTAAAAAATGGGAGCTCTTTAAAAATAAATATTAACTAAGCAGGTAGGCCTGATTGGCCATCTGCTTCCCAACTCCTTTGCTCTCCTTTTAAAATATAACTTCCCTGTGCAGTTCTGTTGACTTTCATCTCTGTCCCACAGCTTTCCAAAGTTTGAATTGTACAGTTTGTACTCTACTTTAGACATGCCACTTTTTTTCCAGAATTTATTCCTGGAACAAATTCCAGTGTGACTCAGAGCTGTGAATTTGTAGTTAGGATCAGTCAGGAACCCCAGACTTAGAATTCCTTTTGAAGGTACAAAACAGATGCTACAATTATATGTTCTAACACTGGGCAGCAGGGTGGAAATAGTCATGAATGGGCTTCCAAGAGCACTAGTTTATTTAAAGGGGTAACAGCAGCCAGGTGTAGCCAATTGTTTCACCTTCTGAAAGGAGCCATGTGTTGCATTTAGCGAAGCAACCCCATTATCCTAAGGTATTCTAATATACAGGAAGATCCAGTGCCATTTTGGTTTCCTCATTGCAGATTAATGTCTTCTGGATTTTTGGGCTTGAGTAAATACACAGTCTCCCCTTTGCCCACATCATTTTCTCTTAAAGTTCACAGCTAATTTAGAAATAGGCAATTTGGGAAGAATTCAATTTCTGTAGAGTATTCTGAGGGTATTTTGGAAATAATGTTAAACTAAAAATTTTTCTATGTGTTATATAAAACATAATGATTTACTTTCAACTTCTTCACATTTCCTTTGAATAAATACAAGTTCAAAAAGAACATTGAAGTTTGATTTGTTTTAACATTTTGCAATTGGGAGCCGTATTCTATGTTTAATTTGCGGTTCTTTTTCAGTAGCCTTTAAAGTTTAATTTAGGTCTTGTACTAAATGTGTGTTATTATTGGGAAGTCATACATGTGGAAGTTCACGCAGCATTTAAAGTTGGTTATAGGAGTGTATGAAGAAGTGAGTGACTTGTTTCTTTTTTTTTTTTTTTTTTTGTTAGGTTAGCGATGCAACTAAGCTTAGACCAAAGGCTGAGTTCTGTTTTGGTAAGTAGCCATATTTTATACTTTCATTAACTTTGGTTAACATATTACATTATACTCTAAAAGAAAACAGTCCCCGAAAACCACACAACACAAACCTGTGGGTTAATAGATTATTCTAAGGGAAATTCCTTTGAAACCACCATCCAGGTGAAGAAATAAAACTTCTCTGCTCTTGAAGCCTCTTTCCTGCATCCATTCCAGTCATAGCCACCTCCCTCTGCTCACATGTAGTCATTATCTACCATATATAGTGATCACTACCAGTGAGATTTCTAGTAATTTTTATTGTATATTAAATACAAAAATAATGGAAAGGATTTGGTTTTCAGCTTGTGGGTAGTGAGAAGTTGCAGTTTAGGGGTAGAGGTAGTTGAGGGTGTCTGATCCACTTGTTCACCAGACACTTAGCGAATGTCTGATGCATATACTCTTGACAAGTCTTTTTAATAATTTTTTAAAAATTTTTATTTATTTATGATAGTCACACACACACACACACACACACACACACACACAGAGGGAGAGACACAGGCAGAGGGAGAAGCAGGCTCCATGCACCGGGAGCCCGACATGGGACTCAATCCCGGGTCTCCAGGATCGCGCCCTGGGCCAAAGGCAGGCGCCAAACCGCTGCGCCAGCTAAGCTTGATCATCCTCTGCCGTTTGGGAAGAAAAGGAGATGGAACCACAGGGACAGAGGCATACAGAGAAGAACATGGTGTATATGGGCACCTGAGCACTGTGTGAAGCTGTGGGTGTTAACAGTGACAGACCAGAAAGTAAAAGGATAGGCGGATTCCAGGTAGAACATGTTGATAGGGGATATGTGTATGTATGTGTGTGCAAACGAGAGGTGAGAAATTAGTGTATAGAAAGCTGATATTAGGTGAAGGAAGTGTTTTGCATGGATAGAGTTTTGATGCAGGTAAAATAGTTCAGGGGCTTCCAAACTACTAAGGGCCTGAATCTGGGTGGTGACAGTGGGGGAGAAAGGAAGGACAAACAATAGTTGCAGGAAATGTGCAGGGACATGGTGACTGGATATGTGGAAAGAGAGACGTTTCAGGTAGGTTCACTTCTGGTAAAGAAATGAATCAAGGAGAGCTGGATGGGGTAAAATGTTTGATTAGGAGTTCGACGTGTTGGGGAAACATCCAAATGGAAACGTTCTGGTGATAGTAATCAAGGACTGGATAGAGCCTGAAGATCAAGGATGGAGAAATTTGGAACCTGTGAAGATGGTGGTAGTTGAAGCTGGGAGAATTGATGTGCCCTCAGTATGTTAGTGGATACTAGTGATGGAAAGGACAAAATTCAGAGTGGCCTACTGACATGTTTTTACATGAAAGTAAGATACTTCTTGAGGTAGATTTGATGTTAAAGTTCCTTGGTCTCTTGCTTGTAAAGGGCAGATTTCTTCTCTAGGCATTGTGTTAGGGATAATATCTGATGGCAACATATATGTCTAGTAAGAAAATAGGATCAGAGCAGGATGTAGTGTAGCTGTTTAGAGAATTCTCTATAAGGCTTTTATCACCACTAAAAACCTAAAAAAATTATGTATTTATTAAAAATTTTAAATTTTGGTTACCAAATAGGAAAATGCCTCAGAGCCTTGTGAATGAAACGGTAATGGGGGCAAGTCAAGTAACAGAACTTTGTGTTTTAGAATGTGTGATGCATATACTCTTGACAAGTCTTTTTAATAATTTTTAAAAAATTTTTATTTATTTATGATAGTCACACACACACACACACACACACACACACACACACAGAGGGAGAGACACAGGCAGAGGGAGAAGCAGGCTCCATGCACCGGGAGCCCGACATGGGACTCGATCCCGGGTCTCCAGGATCGCGCCCTGGGCCAAAGGCAGGCTCCAAACCGCTGCGCCACCCAGGGATCCCGACAAGTCTTTTTAATGTAAATCTCAAACCTACACTTTGAAGGACTTAGGTCTATATGGTAATAGATGTGATATTCAGTTATTGGAGTATTTAGAATAGTTGATTTTACTTGGAATCAAAGATTGGTTTGACAGTAGTGTTATTCTTTATTACTGGAGGGGATAAGAGAAGAGATTCACAAAATGCTTGCCTTCAGAGAGGGAGGCACAGGCCCCTAAAATGGAACCATAACTTCTATTTAGAATGGCAACATAAAGACTCTTCCACCTTTATTTCATCTTAGATTACTCAAAAACAAGTGAGAACAAGAAATACCAAATCATCTTTGATGAAACTGGCAGACATCTGTAACCCGCAGTGTATACAAGGGGAAGTGCATGGAGATCTGTAAAATGACTTAACAGAGTAGCAGAAGAGGCGAGTGGAGAGCTGGCCTGTCTGGGTCCTGCCCCTATCCCAACTGCAGATAGGCTTAGGTTCTGGGTGTTGCCTGGGAATGCAACAGAGAGGAGGGTCTGAAAATAAGGACTACATTTAGATGTCTGTGTCAGGAGTAGCCTCTGGTCCCTGCTTCCATAGCTACCTTTCCACCATCGCAGCAAGAAGTGGCATGTGTAGTATTGTTGGAAATAGAATCAGGGAGGGGCCCCTAGCCGGCTCCATTGGAGGAACTTGTGACTCTTGATCTCAGGGTCATGAGTTTGAGTCTGATGAAGGGTATAGAAATTACTTAAGTAAATAAAAAATTAAAAAAAAAAGAAATAGAGTCACTGAGGCTCTGTGCTTGGGGAGAAGGAGAGGGATGAGGCATGAAACTGAAAATAGGAGGACTAAGTGAAAATCTGCACATTGAATTCACCCTTTTCCTGTGTCTAGTCCCAGAGTACTGGATAGCCAGGTGTAGTGGGATGAGAGTCGGCCTTCCTGGAGAAGTGCTGGGACAGAAAAGTGCTGTAGCACTTTAAGTGCTGACATCTGGGTGTTTCTACTAGAGGAGTTTGCCATTTAGTGATCCAGCAGTTAGCAACTCTGCATATCTTCAGGAGAGCTTCCAATCAGCTTTTTAGTACCTTGTTGTTAAATATGAATATATAGCCCAGGATGACATGACATTTGAGGAGAGAGAACTATCAAATAGGAAATGGGACAAAAGTCAATGCAAAATTCAGAAGAAAAAGCCAAAAAATCTAAAAATAGAACAGAGACAAAGATGAGAAGAGAGAAATATTTGAGAAAATTAGAGGTTCCTTTCAGAAAGTCTACCATCTGACTAAGAGGAGAAGACAGAGAAAGAATGGAGGGAAGAGAGAACTGACAAAGAGGTCATGTGGAAAGGGGCTTGTAACCATGTGGTTCATAATTACATTCGAACTATAACCTCGGGTGATCCTAGGTTGTGGGATGATACTTGTTTACAGTCAGGCTAATGTTTATGCTTCGACCTTATCTATCCGATACATTCACTCTGGTGGTAAAAATTTGAAATGAAATAAAGAAGTACTCAAGTGAAAGGCAGTAGGAACACAAGCCTCTGGGATGGAGTCACTGTACACTGAAACCCCTGATGTAAAAGTGTGGCACTTACAGACTTTGTATGGTTTTGTTTTATTCCAGTGTTCTTTCTTTATTTCTCTGTCCCTGCCTCCCTCTCAATGTTGTTAATATGCCACTTCTCAGTAATTTGCTTTACATTTTCCACAATGCTTCCTTGCTTGGAAATCTCCAGGTGATGATGAAGATGGTGATCTCTTTTCTGTCTGAAGCACTGTCCTAGTTTCTTTACACTTATCACCTCCACCCCTCAAGGAACAAATGGGTTGCATCCATTTCATTGATGAAGAAAATGGGCTCAGAGGGGATTACACAGGTTTTGCAAGATAACATGCTAGTTAAGTGCATGAGCTGATCAGGTCTGAGTGACCCCAGGCTCTGATCTCTTCCTTCCCATCATATCATTATGCTTCTTTCTGGCATTTACGTATACAGTAATACAGTATGTGAATTATTTGGACTGCAAGGTGTGCTAAGAATCTTTTTAAGAGTGTATTTGCCTCTCTTTCCTAAAGTCCTTATATAAATGTTATTCATTTAAAAATAGATGTATTAGGCATTTACTTTGTGGCAGATACAGTGTAGTACCAAGTGCTTAGATTTTCAGACTCTTCAGATGATCCAGGCAGATGCCCAGAACAGCGTTGAGGGAATAAGCCACTGGGGAGGGAGAGCTCAGCCTCAGGCTCAGTTGGAACAAGATTGTACTTGGGTACTTTGCCAGTTGTTAGAAATTAAAAATAAAAGCGGTGTGTTGACAAATATCCTACTGTGCTACTCATTTATCTTAATTTATGCATATGGCATTTATAATTTCTCTGGTGTTTTAAATTTCTTTCGTTTACAGACTAGTTGTCTTATACTTCCCAAGGTACTATTTGATTTCCTTGCTCAGATCCTCATCTCAATTCAGGGAAGCTCTGGTTTAGTGTCTTGGTCTCCGTTTCAAAGTCCCGTGCATTTGAGAAATAACTTTTTTCGTTAAGGATTTCCGTTTCTCCCTTTCCTTAGTCATATTCACCTGAGTGCTAGTATGTCATTTAATATTCTGATGAAGACTTTTGGAAGTTATTTTTATAGTTCAAAAATTGCAACAGTGTAGCTGTTTAGATGCATTAGCTCCTAGAATGATATTTATGTTTTTAAAAGTAAATGCACATAAAGTATAATTAATAACCTTTAAGTGTTGGCTGTGATAGTTTGTAGACAGCTGTATATACTGGCATGCTTTGCTTTATACGAGTAGATAGTCACTAACCAGTATATATAAATTAAATTGCACAAAAAGTTCCAAATGTATTAAGACTTTAGATACAAAGACAGATATAAAGGACGATGCTGAAAATATCAGGGTGTTTATTTTTGTAATCTTGAGTTGGAGAGATTTTCTAAATACATAAAAGCTCAAGTAATTATGGGGAAAGGAAAAGATTGATAGAATATTTGTTTGATTAAAAGATACCATGAACAAATTGAAAAGGCAAATGACAGACTGGGAAAAGAGCTTGAAATAAAACAGAAGCGATTAATAAAAAAGCTCTTTCAAGTCAATGCAAAATAAGAGAACAGTCAGAAGAAATATGGGTAAAGAAAATAAGGCTCACAAAACAAATTCTAATGGCCAAGAACATATAAAACTAACTTGTCTCAATAATCAAATTCACATTTAAACAAGATACGATTATTCACCAATTAAGTAATCAGAGATTGCTGTATCTGTTGGAGTCCAGTCAGGAAAACACTCTGCCCGAGGTATTTCAGACCCTGGAGTATTTGTTACAGGGAGTTGGTTATCCGATTGTCAGAAGGCTGAAAGAGCACAGGAATCCTCAAGAAACCCAGAAATCGGAAACTATAGAAAGCTGCCATCACCCACATGGCTGGAGAGATGAAAGGGGAAGAGGTAGTATGGCCAGAACCTAGGACTTTGGGGCCAGGATGGAGCTAGTGCAGGGTGTCCAAGGGGACAAGCCTGGAGCAGTAGCTAGAGTGTGCTGCCACTTAGGAAGGGAGAGCGGGCGGGCAGCAGTAGCAGGAACCTACGAGAAAGTGTCCTCTCCTCAACTCCCTCACACCTTCTAATTTCCCATCAGTACCTTCCATTAGCTGAACATGGCTTGGGCTGGCAGGAGGTCCTAGGAAATACTGTTTGCAGATCCCAGCTCTAAAATCACAGAATCTGGGGCAGAAGATAAGGTCTGTAACTAGCATAAGTGTGAATGACCAGGATTGGTGTGGGGCACTGAACAAAAGCAGGCCTTTGGATACACTGTTGTTAGGAATGTAAATGGATTCAACCTTTTGGAAAGATAAGTTGCCAAAATCTATAAAAATTTTAAAGGTGATTTCTCTTTGACCCAGCATGTCTGTGTTAAGAAATGTATCCTATCCTACTGGTAGCCCGAGTACAGAGAGATATAAGTACATGATGCTTCATTGGGATATTTTATATAATTTCTAAAATTGGAAATAATCTAAATGTCCATCATTAGGGGATTGGCTAAATGTATTGTGTTATTTCCATTTAATGAAAAACATAGCTGTTAAAAATAAGAAATTTACCTGTTATTGAATGATAAAAGCATTATTACATATGATCTTTCAAATCCAAGACAGTCAGTATTGAACCAGAATGGTTTTTCAGAAAGTAGCTGCAAACATAAATTTAGATGTAACAAATGCAAAATTTCATGTATTGTGATTTATTTTTTTCTCTCAACAGTTATGAATGCAGGGATGAGGAAATATTTCCTACAGGCTAATGATCAGCAGGATCTAGTAGAATGGGTAAATGTGTTGAACAAAGCTATAAAAATTACAGTAAGTATTTTTTCTTTTTAAAATTTTAATGTCTGAAAATAATCTTTACGTTTTGAAAATATACCTACTGAGTGTCTCCAGTGTACCAACAGTTTGCATATTCAAAGTTTGTTTAAAATGCAGGTGTTTATAATGTGAATACATTTTCTTGTACAAGGTAACTATCAGCCCTTAACACCAGCCCATAAATGCCTTTTAACCCATTATGCACCTAATAAGATATGTATTAGTATATATTATAATCACTGCATAATGTTTCTAGGGGAAAATGCACGTTGAGGATGTTTTTTTCTTCCTGAGTAGGATAAGGGGCTTCCTGCCAGCGACCCAGCTACTAGGCGTCGGCCTTCCTGTCTTCCAGGCCATGGCTTGGATTGCTGTTAGATAGGGTAGAGTTTGAAGAGAGGAGCAGGAAATGGAGGTGAGGCCATGGAAGTGAGGCACAGGGATAGGGAGTGGTTCTGAAGAGCTGTGGTGGCCCGAAGGTCCTGCCCGCATGGCCCCTGGGCCCCCTCTTCCTCCTTGAGTTCAGAGCTTGCTGTCCTTGCATGCCTTTTCTGTGCTCCAGCTTCCTTCTTGCAACCTGCCTTTCTTCTTTTGGTTTTCTGATGAACAGGACTGTATATTGATTATTTGCAGTGTACCAGGCCTTGCCCTGAAGGTTTTACTGAAATTATCTAGAAAAGTGAGTTTAGAAGGATTGAGTAACTTTTCCTGGTTTCATAGCTGGTAAACTGTGGAGCTGTGAGCCAAACCCAGTCTCTTTGACTCCAGGGGCTGACCCTGAAGCCCAGTGCCTTGCCACTTCCTGAAAAAAGAGCTCTTTCCTAGTGTTTTGTTCCTAAAGCAAAAACCAGACTTTTTGGAGAGAGTTTTTACTAATGATGAGAGGCAAGCAAATAGGTTCTATACCCTGATCCTAGTTCTCCTTGCTTTTTTCCTTCTCACACACTTGCAGAGAAACACATAGACCCCTGCAGGGAGAGGGTATAGAAGGGAGTTCCTGTGTGAGGTTTGTGTAAATTGAAGTGTTTTTACTAACGTGCAGTTATTTACTGACCCTAAACAACTTAACTCTCGAAAGACATATGCTCTGAAAGTCAGCACATGTTAGTTACTTGATAGTTTCCATCTAAAGTGAATGATTCCATATTTATATCACAACACAATAAAGAGTTAATGTAACTAAAGCTGTTCTCAGAGTCGAGTCGGAGTTTTGTCTTGCACCAGCACAGCTTGTTACCACATGACAGAAAACACCCACGCACTGCATCTGATCTGTACATGAAGCACAAGTTATTTTAGGTTTGTGCAGTTTCAGGAAAGCAATTTTTTTGAACAACTGATTCAGAAGTACATATTCTTAAAGGTCTTAACTAATCGTTTTTAACTTTTTTAATGTGAAATTTTCTTTAGAAAGAGTATCTAGTAACTTTGCCGAATTAATTCATTTATTACAATTTGTAATAATAAGCAGCACTAGTTTTTTAGTGCTTTAAGAGAAAAAGTAGTAAATAGTATCAGGCTTTTCGTCATTTTGGGGGTTCTTGAATTGCTGTATCTAATTTATTAATGGTGTGAAGCCATCTTATACAGATGACACTGTTAAGCTTATTTAAATGCAAGAGAAACTGAGGTTGGGTAATGTTCCTGCTTTTGTGCTTTTACAGCTTTATTTTACATGTTGAAATTTTTATAGTTTTTAAGCTAAATCAGTTGATATTCATGCTTTTATAACTCATGTTTTAATGATTCATGTTTAGAAGATCGGAATACATAACAGATATAGAAATCCTTAGCTAGTCAACCGAGTGAATATTGTGATATTAAAGTGAATATAGAAGGGATAGTATTTGTTAAAAATCAAAACTAAACATTTAACTTAGAGGATAGCAATGAGAGCATTTCCCATGTTTATGTAAGGTACATTTAGTTTTTTTCTCTGAAGAGTCTTGCCAGGGAGTGCCTGGGTGGCTCAGTCCATTGAGTATCTGATTCCTGGTTTCAGCTCAGGTCATGATCTCAGGGTCCTGGGATGGAGCCCTCCATCACACTCAGCGGGGAATCTGCTTGAGATTCTCTCCCTCTGTCCCTCCCTCTCTCACACTCTCTCTTTCTCAAATAGATAATCTTTATTTAAAGAGTCTTGCCATTTTAATGTCATATGCATAAATACACATGTAAATGTATTAGGGTGTGGAATCTCTAATTTGTCATACTTTCCTATTGAAATTGCCAATGATTTACATGTACATTTCTTTGAAAAATTGAAGTTTACATTTTAGTATATGTATAATTTACATTTCTATGGAATCACTACAAATGACATTTTGGTCAATTATGTAATGGTCTGCTGAGTACAATCTGATATATAAACTTAAACCTTTAAAAATTCATAATTAGGTTTTTGCAGTATGTGGTTTCAGAACAGGGGTGCTTAGAGGGTAGTGGTAAGGGAATGGTGATTATTTAACTACTTCCTGATTATAGTACCTTGTCATCTTAATGGACTGTCCTCTGACACCATAGCCTGTGGCTTTCCTAACTTTCCTAATTTCTATGTTGATGTTTATTGGTGGCTGCCATTTAAGAAATTTTCTCCCTTATTTGAAAAGCGAGTCAGTAGTGGAGGAACCAACCCTGAAGGGAGTGTCAGTGACTAGAGTTGGGAAAATAAAATTTTAAACTATACCTTCAACTAACTATTCATTTATAGTAATAACAGTATAAATATGATCTCTGGTCCCTTATTGATTGAGGAACATCTAAGATGTATATGGTGTATTCTTAAACAGAAACCCACTATTTTTAAAAATAGTGTCTTTTCCTCACCACAAATTTTAATTTAAAAATTAATATTAGATTTTAATTAAAAATCAGTGTTTTTGAAATTGTGGCCAAAGTGCCGCATTTTTTTTTTTTTTTTTAAACTGGCAGCTGGGCACAAGTAGAATCAGTTGAATATAGGACTTTGGTCCTAACAAAATGGCAAATCTGCCACAGGTGCAAGGCCTTCTACTTTATAGTTGTGTTTTTCAGCTGGCAGGTCATGGGTAGAGCCCTCAGAAGGTCATGGGTACTCAGTAGTTTGTGTTTGAACATTTTAGGTTTCAGTCTGAAGCGCTGTTGTAGCCCTGTCATTTTTCTCTGTTTTGTTCATCTCTTCATTCTCTATCTTTTCTTTTTCTACTATAAGAATCACAAGCAAACGCCTCCTAAAAATACATGCAGATTTGTCACAGAAAGCGGCTACAGTACAGACAGAAAGCAAGAGAGGGGGAAAGTCAGGGGCAATGAAAGCAAGCACGTCCAGTGTCTTTTGACACTTGCTGTCTCTGCGTGGCCAGGTCATTTTTTCTGATTCTTATTCAATAGTTGGCTGCGTTTTGTTTTGTTTTGTTTTTAGTACTAAAAATATGCTTATTTTAATGGCTAAATTTAGACTAATATTCAGAATTTTATGAGTATTATATTCATGGGTATTTTGCTTATCTTGTTTGGAGGGAATGTTTATAGCTTAGATTTTTTTAAATTGATATGAAATGTTATGTTAGTTTCAGATGTACAACATATTGATTCAAAAATTCTATACATTACTCAGTGCTCACCACACAATTTAAATACTTTTTATTGTAAAGTACCATTCTAAGTTAATTATTGAGCTCCAGCATTGGAATTAGGCCATACTTACTAACATTTTATTATCAGGACAAATTAGAAGCAGTAGGCTTAACAGCATAGAGAAAGATTTTTAATATACTGTCATTTCTGGAAGAAAAATCAGAATAAGCTTCAATATATTTTTAGGCTGGCATTAAAAGTTTTTCTTAGGAAATGCCTATATATTTGAGTTGACTAAACTCTCAACTTCTTAAAAGAACTAACTTCATACGGGTCACCTCTTAGCACATTTCATCTAGCACGGGTGAGATGTGAGCTAAACTCTCGGGTTTAAAATTCTCCTAATGCTGTCCCTCTTGTCTGCATTTTCTCTGTCATAATGGAAATACATGATGCTATTCATTCACAACATCATGGGCTTCCTTAGATTGTTTCTGGGTGTGTTGTGTCCTTTGTAGCCCCTTTACTCTTATGTCATTATGCAAATCTTGCCAAGTAAAATTATAGCCGTTATCTGTTGCCTTTAAAAAGCTCTAAAATGGGGGCGCCTGGGTGATTCAATCTGTGAAGCGCCAGCCTTCGGCTCCGGTCTTGATTCTAGGGTTCTGGGATTGAGTCCCACATTGGGCTTCCAGCTCCATGGGAGCCTGCTTCTCCCTCTGCCTCTCTCCCTCTCTCTCTGTCTGTGTCTCTCATGAATAAACGAACAAACAAGCAAATCTAAAAAAAAAAAATCTCTAAAACGTGCAGCCTCTTAGAAGAATTCTAGAGGCATTCTTTGGCAGGGTTTGTTTCTCTTTCCATTTCCTTCACTTTTGTCTCTGCCAGTGACCTGCCTCATAGTGTAAATATGGCTTGGGACCTGGGGAGAAAGCCTTGTGGGGAAGCATCTCCAGGGGAGAGAGGCAAGGAAGAGAGAGGAGTTGAGGAAGTCACCCAAGAGAGACGTTGTGTATATCCATAGATTATATTTATGTGGATTAGGATCGACTACAGTCCAGCTTAGACATACATTGACATGTTTGCCCAATATTTTGTAAAGCCTTGTCTGCAGATAACATTGTCCACCTGCTTTTCCCCAGACCTGGTGGAAGAGCACAAGCCTGGCAGCAGTGTTTCTCAGAATAATTTGTTAAGCATCTACCTCAGAAGCTTCTAGTGTTCCTGCTTGACTGACTTAGAATTTTGGGTATGCAGCCTGGGAATCTGAAGGTTTTAATCATGTTCCTGGCTTGATACTTCACGAATGTTAAAGCTTGAGAAACCACACTGCTTTGGATTCATATTAATAAATGGTTTGGATATTTGACTGCCATGTGAACAGTGACCCTGGAACTGTGCCAGTGCCCTGTTAACAGGGACTTTAATTGTATGGCAGGCAGGTTATTTAATTTTTAATGTTTTTACATCACGACTACGGTGCTTATTGGACATAGTTGTCATAATGTTTCTGAAACACTGTAAGATCCTCAAATGCCCTTTAGATCGGTGGAAAGAGATTAACTATTATGCTCAACATCGCATCAGTGCTGAGCATATTTTATTACATTTTATTCATAGCCAAAAAAAAAAAAAACAAAACTGTAATTCAAAGACAGATGACATGCTATAGTCTATTGATAGAAGTACTGCTTAGCCAAGTACCTTGTTTCCGGCTTAGGCCACATAAGAAAAGCTAAAATGTATGTCAGACATTAGTGATGCCTTTGACTCTTTGATTCCACTTTAGTGAGGTACTTGTGAGTGATTTATCATGGATACATGTATTGGAATTTCTTTTAAAAATCTCCAGTAAGCTTTAAATTATTTTGAACATTTGGTTTCTGGTTTATGTTACGTATCTTATTCTTTTATTCCTGCTGATTTTGGATTCATCCACTGAGTCAGTCTACCAACGTTTATTGAATACTTACTATGTTTTCACTAGTAGACTCTGTTCTGATGCCAGTAATGATGGATTTGCCATGATCCCTGTCCCTGGGGGTGCTATAGAATCCTGGGCAGGAATGGAGGACAGGAAGAGATTAAGTCACAGAGCTGTAATACAATGTCAAGGTCTCTAATAAATAGGGGGTATGGTATAGTGGTTGAGTGTATAGGAGAGTTACACAAACTTGAATAGAACATACTATAGCCAGGATCTAAACCTACGTTTCTTCATGTCTCTGAGCCTCTGTTTTCTCACTGCTAGAGTGAAGATATGGGTCCTACACATAGGATTGATGAGAGGAATAAGTGGGAGAATGTATGAAATAGTACCTGCCCAAGTAAACACTCAGTAAATGGTAGTGTATTGTAAAGTATTACTGAGACAGAAACATTAGTGTGAGAACTTAAAGGGGTATGGCATACATTATACAGAATTTTTTTTTTTTTTTTTTTTTTTAAATTTTTTTTTTATTTATTTATGATAGTCACACAGAGAGAGAGAGGCAGAGACATAGGCAGAGGGAGAAGCAGGCTCCATGCACCAGGAGCCTGACGTGGGATTCGATCCTGGGTCTCCAGGATCACGCCCTGAGCCAAAGGCAGGCGCTAAACCGCTGCGCCACCCAGGGATCCCCATTATACAGAATTTTTATGTATGTCAGTTATTTATAAGTGGATGATGAGTTGGATATTCTGTGGTAAAAGAGGGTCTCCTAGATAATGCTGGTGGCAAAATGATTCATTTATGTATTATCTTAGGTACCAAAGCAGTCAGACTCACAGCCTCATTCTGATAACCTAAGTCGCCAGAGTGAATGTGGGAAGAAGCAAGTGTCTTACAGAACTGACATTGTTGGGGGCGTGCCCATCATTACCCCAACTCAGGTAATTCATTAGTTATTCTACTCTATGATGGCTTACTTACCGTGTAGTGATTTTTCTGTTAAAAAATAGAACATTACTGAGTTAATATCATAGTTAATCAATTTTAAAAACTTTGTTTCTTATTTCAAACATATGTGTTTACTATGAAGCATTTGGAAATCACAGATAACACTTAGCACTTTCCATGTTTTCTCTGAGCCTTTCTTCTTTATACTTTTGCCCTTGAAAATGGAGAAACTTTGTAAACAGTTTTTTTGACTTACATCTCAAGCATTTTCCAAGTCATTAAAAATTATTCTACATCATTTTAAATGACTGTAGTCATTCTGCCACCATGAATTTACCATAGCTTACAAATCCTTTGTTGTTGGACAGAGTTCCTTTTCCTTTTCCTTCTGTAAATAGTATGAGTAGGAAAAACCCACTTTTCCTTCCCTGCAACTCCCACACTCACATGCTACTGACATCAGAGGTGTGAGGTTTCCCCTACACTAAGCAGTTCTGCAACCCTGGCTGTGTGTCCTACAGTTTTAAGTCAATTCTGACAGTCGGCCTGGATCCCACAGGTTAAAGGGTCAGTCCCCTAAAACTGCCCTCCCATCCCTTCTGATGCCAGTTGAAAGTCTAGGTTGTTTACCTGTGCTTCTGACGGAAGGGCTGTGATTGGAGACAGGATGTGACCTTGTCCCCAGATTTGATTAATTTGCTAGAGTGGCTCTCAGAACAGAAGAAAACATGTATTTACTGTTTACTGGTTTATTATTAAAAGGATATGATAAAGGATGCACATGAACATCTGGATTAAAGAGATGGGAAGGGTGTGAAGCTTTTGTCCCCTTTCTGGGACTCTCTTAAATGTTCACCAACCCAGAAGCCCTCTGAACCCTGTACTTTTGAGATTTTTATAGAGGCTTCATCATATAGGCATGATCAACTCTGTTTCTAGCCCCTTTTTCTCTGGAGAATGGCAGGTGGGGCAGAAAGTCCCAAGCTTCTAGTCCTAGCTTGGTCTTCCTGGTGACCACTCCCCATCCAGCAGCCCACCCAGAATCACTGCATTGGAACAAGAGATGCACCCAGTGCTTATCACTTAGGAATTTACAAGGGTTTTAGGTGCTATGTGCCTGGAACCAAGGGCAGAGACCAGTAAGTATGTATTTTTCATTATCCATAAATCCTATGATGAACATTCTTGTAGCAAAGCTTTAGAGACATGGAGAATAGTTTTTTTAAAGAATAAAGTTCTAGAATAAAATTGCTGAATCAAAGAGTTTGCAAATATGTGTAATTTTTTTAAACCTGTTTTTCTACAACCTGACCTAGATGAGCCACACAGATAACTGGAATTTTGACTCTGTTCTATCACAAAAGTACTGATATACTAAGTCATATCTTATTTGAATATTATGAAAAATATAAAGTCATAAAAAGTTTTGAATGAAATTAAAACTTTTAGATGACCTTAAATTTCTTGTGTTGCTATTTGAGTGAATGAGTTTGTAATGCAAATTGAATTACCAGTATTGAGAAACCGGGGATCCTGAGGTAATGGATTGCTGTCACCAGCCTTGGGCATTTTTCCTTATCTGTGTGCCTGTTTGGACTGAGAGGACTTTGGCACTTTATAAACCTTTTAAATCATTTTATGCACCATATTTTTCAGGTCTTCTGTCAGGGAAGGGTGATTAGAGGCTACTGCATCTTAAGATATTAATTAATTAGTGCTCCCTTTATTCTAGATAAAGGGTATATTAATGAACAAAAATCCATGTTCTAGTGGGAGCTTACATTTTTCACCAAAGTTGGATAAAAGTATAAGCTAGTATTGTGTATGTGTACTTTAAAAAAAAATGATTTTAACCTGTAAGACTTCTGGTTAAAATAAAACTAGACTAAGCTGCTTTTACTTGTCTTATGTCTTATGCTGATATAAGCAGTAAGACAACTTGTCTATAGTTGTATTAATATATTATATTTGTATCTCTGGCTGTTTTAATTTTGTATAGAATTAAGATTTTGTTATGTTTTAATTTTGGTGTAGATTATTCAGTAGGTTCTAAGATTCCATAGCAGCTGCCATATTAAAAAGATCCCAAAGAGTTTTTGTTACTTTTTGATTTTGTAATATAGCTTTTTAAATTATAAAGAAGTATTTACTCATTATAAAGGCATTTAATTGCTATAGTAAGAAAATGCCAAACTCATTTGCTTGATAAATTTATTCAGTGACTATTGGATTAGCAGTTAAGTGCTGGGATTACAAAATTTAAGTCCATAATTCCTGCTGTTGACCTGTCTATGTATAACAGGTTGAAAATTTCTCAAGATAAGACTTGAGTATTAGTTTTTCTCTTGAAATTTAGGAGTCATTGAAAATACATGCTTGGTTGGTTGGTGAGATTCTAGATTATAACATGTTGCATGTTATAAATAAACAGAAGCCAGTCCTTGGAGTAGCATGAAAACATGAGTATAGTTAAATCTTTTTTTTTTTTTTTTTTTTAAAGCACTGGACTTGGCATGTTAAAAAAAAAAAAAACCTGCAGAATTTTTAGATTCTAAGAGCAAGGAGAACATCTGCTGGCAAAGAGTTTTTAGACTTGATATTAAAACCATAGTTCATAAAAGGAAAAATTGGTAAATTAGACCTCATCAAAATTGAAAATGTTTGCTCTGAAAGACCCTGTTAAGAGGATGAAAGGAAAAGCTACACAGTGGGAGGAAATACTTGCAAACCACATATCCAATCTAGCACTTGTATGTAGAACATATAAGGAATTATCAAAACCTAGCAGTTAAAAAATAATCCAACTAGAAAATGGGCAGAATTCATGAAGAGAGATTTCATCAAAAGATAAAAGATACACGTGTGGCAAAGAAGCTCTAGAAAGGCCTCTCACTGTCTTTAGTCAATAGGGAAATGCAAATTAAGACCACACACCTCTCAGAATGACTCAGATAATTAATAACCCAAATGCTGACTGCTGACAAGGATGAGAAGAAACTGCATTACTCGTACATTGCTGGTGGGGATATATAATAGTATGGCCACTCTGAAAAATAGTTATGGCAGTTTTTCATTAAACTTATGATTACTGTACAACCCAGCATATATACTCCTAGGCATTGGTCCCAGAGAAATGGAGACTTATGTTTACATAAATCTATTCATGAATGTTCACTTTTATTCCTAATGGGCCCAAACTGGGAACAACTCAATGCTCTTTAATAGGCAAAGTGTTAAATAGCCCATGGCCAGACCATGATTGCTACTCAGCAGTAAGAAGGGATGGACTAGTGATACAAGGAGCAGCCTGGATGAGTCTCCCGAGAATGCTGGTGATCTCAAAAGGTCACTACTGTAGGAACATTTGTATCACATTGCCTAAATGTCAAAATTATCAAGATGGAGAACAAATTAGGGATTGCCAAGGGATTGGGCATAGGGACTCTAAAGGGGTAGCCCAAGGGAGCCTCGTAATGATGAAAGCTTCTGTATGTTGTCATGGTGGTGGCTTTACACAAAGCTACATGTGACAGGATTGCATAGAATGATCCATACACAAAGGGAAATGAGTGCATGTAAAACTGGTGAAATCTGAATAAGGCTGGTTGTGGGATGTTCCCGTAGTTTTGATAATGTACTGAAGTTATACAATTTCTCTGTTGGGGGACCTGATTGAGAGGTACATAGGACCTCCTGTACTTTTTTTTGAAACAACTTCCTATATTAGTGAATCTATATAATAATTTCAAAACCAAAATTTAACCCTTTCTTCCCTCTACCTCACCACTCCACACGCAAAGCACTGGTGGCAAAACAAGAGAAATAGAAATCTGTGGTTTTTTAATGATGTGAGTGTTATGGATAAGTATCTCAAATTACTTAGAAAACTCTATACCTCAAAATCTGTGTTCCTAAGTGAACTAAGATTTAATTTTAAGATTTTCTACTAGAATGACAACATAAAATACAACTGTGCTTTGAAGCTATACAAGCAAAGAATTTATTTGCTTCATTTTAGAAAGAAGAAGTAAATGAATGTGGTGAAAGTATTGACAGAAACAATTTGAAACGGTCACAAAGCCATCTTCCCTACTTTACTCCTAAGCCACCTCTGGACAGTGCAGTCATCAAAGCTGGGTATTGTGTAAAGCAAGGAGCAGTGGTGAGTACCTGGACAGGGTATGTATAATGAAAAATGAGTCTCTGTTAGCAAACTCTCACCATACAAATCATTTGCTTTGTTTTCCAAAAGGCCCAAAGTGAGAGACCAGTGTGCTGAGGAGTCAGGAGATAGAATAGGGGTGACTCTATGTTCATAACTCAGTGCTGTTATTTTCTTTGTCTGTGGGTGGCTGGATAATGCTTATTGCCACTGACTTTCAATTTTGAGTGAGCTTTCCTAACAGTTTATCCCAGACGTTTTTCTTACCAATCTTTCCTCCCTTGGGAGTGGGTCAGAGAAAGAGAGCTCTATCAGGGAGGTGTTAAGAAAAGAGGGGTGTGGGGAGTGGGGAGCAGGAAGGCTCACTCCATTTGGTGTTGGGCTGACCTCAGTTGAATTTCCTGTGACCTTGGGCTTCTTACTTAACCTCTCAGTCTCTCAGTTTCTTTTTAAGGAAAATTAGGTTATAAAACCTGCCATCTGGAGGTTTTTTTTGAAAGATGTAAATTTAAGATAGTATTAGCACAGCACCTGGTCCTTAGTAAGAGCTATTAGCCAGATCCTCTCATTCAACCTGACCTGTAGTGGGACATTGTAGGAAGAACAGGTAAATTTTCCGGTAATTTCTAAGGTTCCAAAGTACCTTCCCAAAGTTTGTCACTCTGATGTGAACCAAATTGTTAGAATTTCATGAGAAAACAAACTTTAAAGTTTGAGAATTTAAAAAAAAAAAATTTTGTGAGTATAGAAATACTTAAAATTCTATTGGCAGTTCTATTTGACCTCACATCACTTTTTGGTAACTTCAGTTAGCTTCGGTCAGCCAATGGAAAAGTTCTTTCATTCCTAATCTACTGACTTCTAAGCCGAGGGAAATGAAGGGGAAGTTCTGAGAGTCTTTCACTGTAGCAGGTTTACAGGTAAAGTCAGAGTCTCATCAGGCTGTGACTGGCTTGTGTTAATTAGGGCTTTTAGGGAGACATTTCCTTTCGTTTTACTCCCAAGTCCAAAATAACAACCCTTAGAGATACTGAAGTGCTTTCACGAAAAATATATTTCAGCGACAAAAAAAATACTTGTACAAAGTAGGTTCACTTTATTAAATATTTGTTGCTTTACTACTAAGTATAAAGTACCTGAAGAAAGATTCTTGCATTTTACAGATTTTACAGAACTTAATGTGGTTTAATAACATTTCCTGTGCTTGCTCTTGAACTCTTGATGGCATTTAGTTTGTGGGGTTGGGGGATGGGGAAGTGTTTTGTGTGTGTTTTTTTTTTAACTTTTAGAGCATTAAAAATATGAAACCATATTATAGAATTATATGATACAGACTGAAAGCTAGCTACCAAAGTTGCCTTAGGAGTTCAAGGCCTAAGTTGCCAAAGAGATGAAGTTTTATGTATCTCCTCAGTAAGGGAGGATAGTGAGGTTTTTCAGTGCCTGACATTTCTGATTGTGGGTTCATAGCAGAATATTTAAGTGGCTGTTAACATTTGACATTCTTAGAATCAGAAGTCTTATGTCTGTGTTCATCTCTGGTAGATGAAAAACTGGAAGAGAAGATATTTTCAATTGGATGAAAACACAATAGGCTACTTCAAATCTGAACTGGTATGTTGCTCTGTCATAAATGTTGCTTTAAAATGTTTGAGAAGTGTTAAAACACTGTGGTGATTTTAATTGTGCATGTGTAGTTTCTTGTCCTGTTTTCTATTTTTAAAATCTGGTTTTGAAAATTACAGTTCAGGGGCAGCCCTGGTGGCTCAGCGGTTTAGCGCCGCCTTCAGCCCAGGGTGGGATCCTGGAGACCCGGGATCGAGTCCTGTGTCAGGCTCCCTGCATGGAGTGGAGCCTGCTTCTCCCTCTGCCTGTGTCTCTGCCTCTCTCTCTCTCTCTATGTCTCTCAAGCATAAATAAATAAAAAATCTTAAAAAAAAGAAAAAGAAAAATACAGTTCAGTTTATTTGGTTCTGATGTTTTAATGATAATTTTGTAAATGCATATTAAATAAAAAGATCATATTGTCAAATATGATCACCTTAAAAAAATAAAAAATATCAGAACTCCTTAGTCTACAGATTTCTTCAGAAGGGAAGCTGGAAGAGATTGTAGGAAACCCAAGTCTTTAAAAGTCAACATTTTAACTCTGTGTTTCTACTTTCTTTTGTCTGCCCTCTCTTGATATTTTTTTCCTGTTTCAGATTGACTTTTTAAGTTTCCTCATATAAGACCTTTTTGTCCTACCTGAAGGTGGAGTCAAAGAAATTTTTTCACTTGAGTAACATCCTTATTTAAAATACTCTTATCACATAACCTGAGAGTTCTGCAACAGATTGTTGGATAATTTGAATGCTTTTTTTAGACCTTAAATGTCTGTCCTAGTTCTACTTGTTTTATGGGACCTTTGACTGGGGATCATACCCTTTATTGGTGTGAAGGCACAAGAACAGTACTATCCAGTAGAACTTTCTACACTGATAGAAATGGTCTGTATCTGTATTGACCAGGTTTGCTGGCTACATGTGGCTGGTGAATGCTGAAAATATGGCTGGTATGACTGAGGAATTTGACTTTATTTAATTTTAAAAATAAAACTGATTGTTTTTAATATTTTTAAAATTTAAATAGTTACACATAACTAGTGGTACTGTATTGGACAATAGAATAGATAATAGGAAAGGAATATTTTGAGATTCATCTCAGGTGTCTGTTCTTCTTGGAAGCTTTCAGACTCTAGATTAAGTGCCTTCTCCTTACACACCATGGTTCCCTATGCCTTGCTTCTATCATAATTCTTCCCACTGTGTTTTGTAATTGCCTGCATACTTGTCTTTACCAGTTGCTTATGCGAGCTTCTTGAAAGCAAATATGTCTTTTATACCTTTTTTATGAACACAGCACCTGGTACTTGGTAGATAATTAGTAAGTGTTTTTGAATGAATGAGAACGGGGATAGCATGGCAAGAATATCCATTTTAACATGAGTATTTAGCCTTTCTTAGACATCAAATTCTAAGAGCCTCAACTGGAAGTAGTAGTTGGCTCAAAAAGTATCAGACTTGGTGTCTCAGAAGGCTACACGTGTGCTTGGTTAGTAGGTTGATTCATTGCTTTTAATTAATGGCAGTACTCTTGGGAAGAGTCATTAATGCAACAGACATTCACTGAGCTTTCCATGGCTCTGGTGCACTGTTCTGGGAATCAAAAGGACAATCAGTGATGTTCTGGCCTTTTTCAGGAGTTCAGTTGTGCCAGAGAAGTTGACATGTACCCCTATCACCCACAGTAATTCTAATGAGACAATGATCATGAAAATATTTACTAAATTTTGAAAACTAGCATGTAGACATGATGCTATAAAATTTGAGATGAAAGAATACTGAACTAACAAAAGTGGTAGGGAAATGATACCATGTGTATTTAAGAATGTATTAAGCATTTAGGAAACACAGATTAAGCTGGAATCTTTAAATATATTTTTAATTATTTACCTTTATCAATAACTAAGATGTGCACTCCCCCCCCACACACACACATTTAACATTTCTGAAATCTCAGGGTATCTTAGAGTTGCTGCAAGAGGGGCAGTCAGGCAGCAGCTGTGTGATAGTTGGCATTGCTCACATGCCCACAGCACCTCTGGGTAAGATCTGGAAAACACCCAACATCAAAACCTACAGAGAAGGTACTGGCAGCTCAGAAGAAAATCTCAGGGACACAGTAGAACGTTCTTAAGAAATGAAATGCTGCATCCTCAACACTCTTTTTGTTTTATCTTATTTTTTATTTATTTATGATAGTCACACAGTGAGAGAGAGAGAGAGAGAGAGAGAAAGAGGCAGAGACATAGGCAGAGGGAGAAGCAGGCTCCATGCACCGGGAGCCTGATGTGGGATTCGATCCCGGGTCTCCAGGATCGCGCCCTGGGCCAAAGGCAGGTGCTAAACCGCTGCGCCACCCAGGGATCCCCCTCAACACTCTTTTTGACACGAAAATGATATGGAGTGAGAAACGTTGACATTGATGGCTCTGAGTCAAAAAGATGATTCAAAAGAGCTGGAATCTATGTACCTACATAGGGTCAAGAACATAGATGACAAAAATCGATACTTAGTGTGTAAAAGGGCTCTTTTATGAAATCTTTTGGTCATGTAAAAGTTTCAACAAAAAGTAGTTAGTGTTCTGAACCCCTGTATATTCTTCATCCAGATTTTGTAATTATCAACACATGGCTAGTTTTGTTTGTTAGGTACCACCACCCACTCCCCCTTTGTATTTTGAAGTAAATCCTAGACATATTATTTCCTCTGTAATTATTTTAATATGTATTTCTAAAAGATGAAGAGTTAGAAGCTTTTTTAGTAGGTATGAAGGATTTAAGTGCACAAATGAAAAACTGGAGAAAATATCTGTCATATATATCAGGAATAAAACAATATCCCTAAAGGGGATATTGCCCTCTTTTCCTCCCATTAGTCCCCAACAATTCAGATCTACAGTGTTGTGGTGAGGCAGATCGATGTACTTGTTCATGTGGTGGGGCAAGGGTGGAAGGATCTAGGGTAGCCTGGTGTGGGGCAGTCAGGACCCGAGGAGGAGGAGGCTGTCCTCTTGGGGGGTTAGCCCAACATGGAGTAGGGAGGGGAGCACATCCACACTGGGAAGAGGGGAGTATGTTGACATATGTGCTTACTGATAAAATAGGAAAATATATTAAGGATAATAGAAGGCCAGTTTCTCACTGTCAGTAAAGGGAATAATAAATATGGAAAAGGAGAAAACTTTTGTATTAGATTGGAATTGATCTGACCATTTAACATCTACAGATAGATGTAGAATGAAATACGATGTAAAAGTATTCATGTGTTTATACACACACACACACACACACATACTTCCTCGCTCTATGCAGCTGGAAAAAACCCACTGGAAGAAACCTAGGCTCATGGAGAAACGGCAAGACAGGAGAAATGAACAAAAACTAAGCCTGGGATGTCTCGTATAAGAAAACAAGTACTCATGGAATGCTGTGGATATGTCAGAAGGACCCAGAATCCAGTGTGAAAACATTCCACCTTACCAAATTGGAGGCATTTTGAACATCAAAATAAGTAATGATGGTAATATATTATTGCCCTTTGAATAAAATAGGAATCCATAAACCCACACGGATATAAATGAGTTGAATGCATGAGTGTACATACATACGTATGATGAGGAACCAGAGATCACAAAGTTTCAAAGTCCCTGTCTACAAAATACACTAAGTACAAAAAGGGAATGAGTAGCTTTACAGTGAGAGATACTGCTGGCAAATACCACTCTAATCAGGTGATCAGATGATTAGCGTGGACTTCATCAGTGATGAGATGAATTAGGATTATTTGCTACTTGCCGGGATAGCTTGAGAAGGTTGTTGCCTCATTTCTGTGATGTTCCTGCCAGAGATGCCGAGCCTGAGTCTGATCTTCAGGAAGGATCAGACACACCCAAATCAGGGACATTGTCCCGAAGAAGTGCCCTGGAGCCTTCAGGAGCATCGAGATTGTGGAAGTCAAGGGCAGAGCAACTGAGGAGTAAATGCAGTCTGTGATTCTCAACTGAATTCTTTTGTTTTAATAAAGGACTACATTCAGGGGACACTTTCTTGATTTCAGTGGTTGTATTGTGATAAGAGGATGTCTTTGTGGGAAATACACTCTAACATGAAGGGCAGTGGGAGCCAGGTCAGCAGCTCACTCTGAAATGGCTCAGGAAAGGCAGGTCTTTGTGCTATGTTTTCAGCCTTTGTTTGTGGTTGGTTCAGAGTTTACAGAGAGAGAAAAACAAGGGAGAAAAAGAAGTAAGAGACATGAATAGACAGTTGATTTGCAAAGAAATGTCCTTTAAACATATATAAGATATTCAACATCACTTGTAATTAGAGAAGCACAAGTTAAAACCTCCCAGAAGTATTTCTGCTCATCTATTACGAGAAAGCCATGGTGGAGTGAAGACATGGGAGGTCCCTTCCCCCCACCCGAGCAAGTATAAGTACTGTTCTTTAACAGAAGGAATGTGGAACCTTGGAGAGATGGAAGATTTCAGAGGTGGGGCAGGGATAGCGTAGGCTGAGCCTGAAAGAGCTAATGGTGACAGAAAATAAGGAAGTGACTCAGAGAATGATGGGAACATGACAAAAGGACGCAAACCCGGCTCACAGGAGCTCCCAATGCTCAAATTTGAGCACCTAAATAAATAATGATAGTGATGGTTTACAACCCAGAGAATAAAGTCAAAGAGGTAAGTGGAAGGAAAAGCATTTCCTTAGAGCAAAAGTTCAGCTAATATATGTAGATGAATTGATGGAATTGGACAAAACAACAACAACAGCAACAGCAAAAACAACCCACCATTCAGCAGCTACTACAGTAACGATCTTTCAGACAAGAATCCTCCAAATTTGATAAAACTAGTGGACAGAACAATGATGGAAAGCTCCATGCATCTCACTCACCCCAAGATACTTGATCATGACAAAGGAGAAGAAGGTAACTGTCTAGTTACTGGCAAACCTGGCCGTAGGAGATGAGGGTTAACCTCTCAGTAAGGGGACACACCACTCTCCCGCGCTCCCTGAGAATGGTGGGCTGAGAAGAACGTAGCACATCTGTGGTTTCCCACCAACACTGAATCCAAGCATGGTTAACATCAGACAAAGCCAAATCAAGGGACATTATACAAAATGATGGGCCTGGACTCTTGAAAACTCTAAAGATTGTGTGAAGGAGGAAAAAAGACAGCAGAACTCTTCCACATCAAGGACACAAAGAGACGTGACTGCTAAATACAAGGTCTGATTCCAGATTGAACCCTGGAGCAGAAAAGCTGTAGTTCTGTTTCTGTCAAGGATACTGCTGGGCAGTTAATGAGCTCTGAAGATGGTCTGTAGGTTAGATAATAGTACTGCCAGCGGTGTGTGGAGTCTCTGGTCCCCGTACTTGTACCGAGATTATATGAGAGAACATCCTTGTTTTAGGAAATAGACATGAAACTATTTAGTAGTAAAGTGCATCCTGTCTATAACTTGCTTTCAGACATTTCAGGAAAGTATATACACACACCATTAGTCACGTAATATGAACACAAACAGAACAATTTAGCAAATGTAAAATGTTAACATCTTGGAAAATGGGGTACAACCTATAGCACCTCTTCTACTGTTTTTGTAAGCCTTTTATATTCTGAAATCATTTTAAAATTAACTGTTTTGTAAAACTTAGAGATTTGTGATTTTTTAAAAATGTTCAGCCATCGTTTAGTTTTTTTCTTAGTGCTGCATCTTAATCTTAAGGGGTGATAGTGAAATAGGGCATATAGTATTTCATAGAATGTGTAGTATAAATATGCTATTAGGAGTTAGTTGTGTCTTGTATCTAGTTTTGTAACCCTAGATGAAGTACTTAACAGGTGTGAGGCTCTGTTTCCTCAGGTGAATAGTCATGCAGGCATTATGGGGTTGTGGAAAGTTTAAGTGAGGTAATTGTGTTTAAAAGCTAGCAGATGTCCTGACGCTTAGTAAATGTTCAATAACTTGTGCTTGTTAAATAATATACTCGTGTAAAAGTGATATTCTTAAAATGAGAACTTTAACTCAAAGAAGCTGTGTATCCGCTACTCTGGTGCTTTCTGTATCAAAATAACATTCCAGAAAAGGAAGCACTCCACTTACAGGGTACATAGGGGTCTATCAGGGTAAAGTCTGATGGTTTAATGGCTTTTAGTAAGCTACACTGTCATTAAGACCAGAAATAGTGTGAATACGGGTTCTATGCTAGTTTCCTTGTTTCAAACTACAGTGTTTATAAGGTTCTAGTGTTTGAGCTACTCTGATGCTGGACGCTTCTGGAAGGTAGATTTAGGTCAAGAAAGAAGCAGTTTTCATACAGATCTCCATGTAAGACAACTAATTCTTAAAAGGATTTTGAGAATATACCTCATGTATCTGTTTGCTTTTTTGCCAGGAAAAAGAACCCCTCCGTGTAATACCACTTAAAGAGGTTCATAAAGTCCAGGAGTGTAAGCAGAGGTAAGCACCAGCCCTTCCTTAGTTCCTGGAACATCTAATTAATACTCATCAGGGCCTAGGTTTGATTGATGTGTACAGATGATATTTTTCTGTGTTTTTTCTAGTGGTGTTTTCAACTCTTCATTGTTGGGATATGCTTGAACTTACAAAATCCTCAGGTTAAAGTTTTGAGATATTTTTTGTTTCATTTGAAAACTAAAAGTTAAGAATCCCTAGGCTTATCAATGGGAAGGAAAGAATTTAATATGAATAATTTGTCACATCTGGCAGTCTGATGTTCTACTAGTTTTAATATTTGGAAGCTGCTGCAGAATAGAGCTTTTTGTAAGGACACATGTTAACTGTGCCAGTGTTTCTTTGAGCAAACTGATTTATGAGCAGTAGAAAACTTTGAATTTGAAACTACTTTTATGAACCTTTTCTAAAAATATATATAACTATATAAAATATGTGAAATTTAATGTAAGAATAAATTGAAAAAGATGCTAATTTGGTTTTACTCAATGACACCAGTATTTTATTTCTATTTATTTTCTTATTGACATATATTTGGTACTAGATAAACAAGTGAAAGAAACACTATCCAACAACTGCTATTTACGTGCAATTGGACGTTTGTTTTTGTTGACAGTGACATAATGATGAGGGACAATCTCTTTGAAATTGTAACATCGTCTCGAACTTTCTATGTGCAGGTGAGATACTTTTTTGGAGATTATAGATTCTCCCACCAAGAGATTAATAATTTTAGAAGTGAAATAAATATAAATAAATTTATTGCTTATGCAAATAAGAAAAACATGGCAACTGTAATTCACAACTTTAAACAAAAGTTATATATAAAATTATTGGTAAGTCGTATGTTTAGCAAATTAGGGGTACTTTTTGCTCCAAATTGGTACAATAGAAATTAAGTAGTATTTGTGGGAAGGGAAATACTGTTTTAACTTAAACCCTAACTTTCAGTTCGGATCATTTTGCACATATTTTGGAGTTTTGATTGTATCATTTTTGGTAATTAAAAAAATAGGATCTAAAATTCCCACAATAAAAATAGACCATAGATCTCACTGTTGGTAGATAGACATCTTGTTATTTAAGTTTAAAATACACTTTTTACTTACCACAGAGAATTAGTTAGATTTAAAGTGTTTTTTTTTTTTAGAGGACATTTGTTTTTACTTTATAAAAGTTACATATGATTATTGCAGAAAATTTGGAAAATAGAAAAAAATATGAAGAAATGACATAAAACCCAAATCCCACATTCAGGAAACTATTCTTATTTTAGTACCTTTTTAAAGGCATATGTTTTTATAACAAGTGGGGTCATATGAAGTACATGGTGATATATTCTAGTTAATGTATTATATAGTCTTTTTTCCCACATCATTAAAAATCCTGTAAAAACTTTTAGGACTGCACCACGCTCTATTATAGGGATGCTCCATGGTTAAACTGTTTCTCTGCTACTCTGTAACTGATTGTTTTCATAGTTTTTGTACATTTGCTATGATCAGCAGTGTGGTGGTGAACAGTTTTGTGTTTAAGTTTGCCTGGGTTTCTTCTTTAGATTAAGTTTCTAGATCAAGAATAACTGTCAGAGCATAAATCTTTTTAAACCCCCATTTTTGCCAAATTGATTTCTGGATTTGTACTTTACCTTTGCCTGCTTTGAATTTTTCCTGTTAAAATTCCTTGCTAAAATCATTGGTTCAAAAGAGTATCTTGTGACTTAAAATTTTGGAACAGAAGTGAAGGGCAGTATCTACACCCCTCTCAGGGCCTGTTTAAGTGGATTTAAAGTCATAGTAAAGTTTTAAATTCATATTGGAAGGCCATGGCCTATCAAGGAATATGATACTTTGGAATATGACTACCAGTACTTTTTTCTGTATTTAGTGGAGTACTAGAAATGCTGTTTAGAAAAATAATACATAACATGATGTCAAAATGTTTTTTTAACTATACAGTTAACGTTTATACCCTTATAATGGATTCAGACAATATAACAGTAGATGGAGCAAAATGAGGTTTGTCTGTGACTCCTTCCTCTCATTTTCTCTCAGAAAGTATTCATATTGACACTTTTGGATGTGTCTGGCCTTAAAATATCAGGTGTCCAACTTCTGTCTCTATAATAACGTACCTGCTAAACCTGGCTTTAAAAAGCGATTTCTAAAATTTTTTGGCACCATTACCTTGGGATGATCTTGTTGGCACTGTAAGTTTCCAAGATGAATACGTTAGATTTATGGATGTAAGAGCGGATTTTGAGGACAAACTGACTGAATGAGTCCTTTCTCTCCCTTAGGCTGATAGTCCTGAGGAGATGCACAGTTGGATTAAAGCCGTCTCTGGTGCCATTGTAGCCCAGCGGGGGCCTGGCCGATCAGCATCTTCTGTATGTTCCCTGTTCTCTGGGGTGGTACTCCTTAAGGCTCCCCCCATCCTGTCCCAGTTATTTTCCTTCCTCTCCCCCTAATGCTTCTGGTTTCTTTCTGTATTGAGATTTATTTGCATGTTGACTTTCATACCAATTGGACTTGCAAAAAAATAATGCATTTCTAATTTAATGCTTCCTTGTAGTGTTATGTATACATAACTTTCTGTGCATTGTATTGTCTTAAATGCACAAGCAGGGCAACTAAAGAATGAACATTTCCTTGCTTTGTTTTAGAAGTTCTTACTTGTCACTAGGTCTAGATTTGTTACAACTTGACCAATTCTTAGTACGGGATGTGGCCCAATCCTGTAAAGTGCCTGAAGTTGTAGCATTACACAGTTTGCTGAAGGCCCAGTTTCCTCTTTACTCTAATTTCAGTTAGGGATTTTTTGACTTCCTGGTGCCCTAAGACCATTGAGCAGCTGAACCCTGATTTAATACAATTTCATGTTCTCAACCGCTGTTTTCCATTACATGTTCTCATTCTCATTTTCTGGTAGGGTAATTAAAAAACCACAGCTTTTCACTACCATAATTATCTTTGTGGTAATATGTTAATAAAATTGAAATGTTAAATGTTCTCAGAAATAATAAAAAATGTTTTTAATTTTTAATTTATCATGTTCAAGAACGTGATAGGAGTAAGATTTAGCTTTGGAATACTTCAGTCAAAAAAAAAAAAGGAATACTAGTCACTGGCCTCTCATCTGAAAAAACAAATTCTACTGAGGAATAGAAAAAAAAAATTAAGTGTCTTGAAATGTAGCACCTCTGTCTGTGGAATGGAGTCTAATGTGTAGTATGAAAGCCTTGATTGCCTTCTGCAGATTCATTGTAAATGCCAGATATTCCACACTTTTGGTATTTTTTCTGGTAGTAATACTGTCTTTAATAGCTTTCTGGTAGTGATAACTACAGATCAGTAAATACAAATCTATGTTTCTTAAATTATTCTCCTTATATCCGTTTTGGAATCTCTTAGAAGTCACTTTCATAGGTGTTAACTTTGTAACTGCCTGTGTTTTATGTGACCTTTTCAGCAGCCAAGTATGAGACTCTCTGCAAAAACAATGTCTGTTGGGAAGAGGAAAATCTGGAGAAGGGCACTTGTGTTTTGTGCTTTGTGGTGGGGGCAAAGTGGACTCTCTAGCTGTAACTGTCAGCAGAACTTTCTCTTTTCCTCCCTCTCCCCAGTATAGGTTAACTCTAATCTTAGCTTTGCACTGTGTTCCAGATGCGGCAGGCCAGAAGGCTGTCGAATCCTTGTATACAGAGGTATACATCAAGAACTGGTGAATGCAGCACGTATGTGGGCTCTCACGCAAACGTGCCTTCTTACTAGAGGGCCCGGACTCACTCACTACTTACAACTGATCATAGAAAGTTGAGTTAACCAAACTGCCTTTTGCAGTTATCGTAACTGACTTCGTCAACACTAACGCAAACTATTTCACTACAGTCATCCGGTTGGATATGTATATTTAAGCCACAATGAAAAGAGATAAATCATGAAAAAACTGGAACCTTACTAATTGAAAAAGTCACATTAAACTGTTTTCTACAAATTAATTTACTGAATTGCCACAAGTTTCAACTTCTATATTTTATATATTTTGAAATTTTTTATATACACCACTTAACTGCACCCTTGTTCTAATAATATATGCAAACTCATGCATGCATATACAGTGGATAAACTATATTACTATAGCTTGCATGGCATTTTAAATCTCAGGTGAAATTTAGCCAGCTCCTGGGAATCTATAGTGTTTTGTCAATTTGTAGTACTTTGTTTTCAAAGCCGCTAGTATCATACATGAACACAGTATACTAGGACTATATGGCAATGCATTTGGAATGGTCATATTTAAGGTATCTTCAGCCAGAAGCGAATGAAATAAAGATTCGCACCTGATAGTTACTTCACCACAGTTTTAATAAGTGATTAAATATGTACCCTTTGCTCCCTTTAGAATCTTTAACCATATGAATGTATAACATATTCAAAACTAAATAAACCTAATGAAGGCAGCAGTGAAAAGACTTCACTGTTAATTGGTTGCAGCAAAATTCAGGGATGAAAAACTAAGTTTGTCAGACTGCCAGACACAATAGTAGGTTACAAAAATAGTGAGTTCCCCGCTTATTAAAGAAATACAGCCTTTCCTTTTGATATTCTGCATTTTTATTTTTATTTTTTTATCTTCCGAAAATACGTGGGATGATCCCTAGCATTGATTGAGAATATACCCTTAAATAGAATGGCAGAGCTGGTTCCCTTGCAGTTGGAGCACTGCATTCCAGTTTAGGCTGGCCTGAGTCTTCAAGTGGCAAAGCTTTGGTGACAGAACTGGTTTCTTAGTGGAAATGGTTGTTGACTGTCATTGCTTTAACCTCACTCCTAAAAATGCATTGCTTTGGGGAAGAACTTGCACATGTATGCTGCATGGCTCTTGCTTCTGCTCTGTGGTGTGTGTGTGTGTGTGTGTGTGTGTGTGTGTGTGTGTGTTTTGTTTTTCAGAGAATAAAGTCTCACACTGAGTTACTAACTTTGTCGTTAATGTTTGACTGTGTCTGACCACCACTCGTCTTTGCAGGAGCATTCCAGCTGTCCTTCAGAACCCAAGCACGCTTTCCGCTCTGCCAGTGCAACAGCCGCCACCTCACATTCCACAGCCTCTCGCAGCAACTCTTTGGTCTCAAGCTTTACCATGGAGAAGCGAGGATTTTACGAATCTCTTGCCAAGGTCAAGCCAGGGAACTTCAAGGTCCAGACTGTCTCTCCAAGAGAACCAGCTTCCAAAGTGACTGAACAAGCTTTGCTAAAACCTCAAAGTAAAAATGGCCCTCAGGATAGAGACTGTGACCCAGTGGACTTGGATGACGCGAGCCTTCCCGTCAGTGACGTGTGAGACGGAAGCGCGTGGAGCTTTGCCTGCCTCCTCGGCCCTTCTAGCCAAAGATGATAAAGGATGAAATGGTTTTTAATACATATATTATACTGCCTCTTTGATGTACTCTTTATAAGCTGATAAACCAAGAATCTAGGGAGTGGCCAAACTAAATGTAATTTCTTTAAAAAAAAGGTGAAAAACAATGAACGAATGCAAGAAAAAAACCCAAGTGTTTCAGTATCAACTGTCTGAGGCTTTGTGTGCTCTCTTTTGGGTGATAAAAATGTGTGTGGTATTTTTTCCTAGTGAATTTGACAATTGTTTAACAACTTAAAACATTAAAAATGCTTATTAATTATTTTGGTTGTTTTTAAAATGCTTAGACTTCCTCTTAGATGCTTGATATTTACATATTCTTACTGGTTAATATTATTGAATGAAATATTGTCAGACTAAGATATCTAAAATCATGATGTCTGTGGTGCTGTAAAATTTATACTACAATGTGGACAATTTGGAAACGATAACCATTTTTGATGCTCTGGATCTCAAGGTGGGTGGCAGGTGTTATGTAGAGGGTATCATTGGACCTGTTGGTGAGGGTTGTAGGTTGCACAGGGTTGGAAATTAGAACTCACACAACCATGTCTTGGACGTGTGTTTGAACAAACTTAGGACTTGCAGCAGTCTTTGCTTTATGAAACAGTTAAAGTGATTTGGTATGAAATTTCTGGGAGATCTGATTTTCATATCAAGGTTTTATAAATAGTTCTTATTTCTATATTTGGATCAGTGAAAGACCTCAAGTTTATATGTAAAGACATACTGCCCTTAGCCATGTGATTGCAGCCTCTCCTTTTTGTCACTAATTAACCTATATTCAAGTGCCTGTGTCTTCTCATCTTGTTGGAGAATGTCGTTGGATTAATGTGCTCAAAAGTCCTACGTGAAAAAAAAAAAAAGTCCTACATGATTGGTTTTAAACATTGGGGTAAAATTAATTTTCAGTACCATACCATATCTCAATTCAATGTGCTAATTGAGATATCCTCTTATGCTGGAGATGCCAGAATGCTTTTATTCTACTACCCGTGCAATATATATGTTGTAAAATACAAATTTGAGTATACATTTAGTCACCGGGATATCATAAATGTAAGCACCACTCTAAAAAACCCGTAGTTTCAAGTGTCTGAATAATAGACCAGTTTGAAGTATCATTTTTATGGTTGAGTCTTAAACATTTGCTTTAAGAAAATAGTCTTGAATTTCACATGCTGCTATTTTTATGATATTTTGCCATCCTACTGTGCTGTTTTGTTTTGAATTCATATGTGTCACTGTTTCTCCTTTCCATTTTCTAAGATGATGTCTCGTTTGAGAGAGAACGGGAGAGATTTCCTACTGCAGTGGTGGGGTCCAGAGGTTACTATCTGTTATAGTGGAATTATCACGGAATCAGTTTAAAAAATCCAAATGCATAAAGTGCACCACTCAACTTTTTTATTCATAAGCTAATACTTTGAAAAGTTATATTTTGATTTTTTTTTCTTTTTTGCAGCTACATTGGAAATTGGTGGAATGGAAAGGTTTTAAGTAAATATCACTTTTTCTGCCGATCTATTATAATGGTTCTTTTGAAAGTTACTTTTTCATGAACATACCTAAGAAATCTTGTGTAGACAGTTTGCAATATTCAGGAGCTTCATGCTTTTTTCTTTGGTACAGCTTCTACATTGCATGTTCATTTTAGCATATTTTGGTATTGGTAATTTGTTATATTTCATAGTGGCAAAATACTAGCTCTATTTTGGGACTTTTTATAGAACTACCCTTGTATTCAGTAGCATAGGAAAATATTCTTGTGATTGTCAGGGTCTCTTAATATTTATCTCAATACTTTTATAATTCTATGAAAATTATTTAATTATTTTAAAACTTATACTTTTCTTGTAAATATGTCACATCTGAATTGTCAAAAATTTACTTTGAATACCTTAATATTTGCTGCATTTTTTTTTCTGTATATATATAACATGTCTTCTTTCAGAATGGGAATATACTGCTTCCCAGTGTTTACTTTTACGTCTGTTATCTTTATAACGTCAAACTGGTTGAACACTGTAATGACTTGAGAATAAACTCAAAATTCTAACTAACTTCTCATTCAGCTCTGGTGTGAACAAGTAAATCAGGACTAGTATAAAATATGTTTGGGTGATTGACTTGAATTTACATATTTACGAACAGACTGATTATTTGGTAACCTTTGAAAGGCATAGTTCGATACAAAATTGCACAAGGAAAGATGATTGGTTTTGGAAAAAAAAAAAGCTTGCTTATTTTGTTTCACTAAAACAAAAGAAACACATGTTCTCTAAAGCAGTATTCCATATGTTGGCTTCGAGCATACATACTTTGAATCATCCAGGCTGTTTTTTGCAGTGTTGGTTATTGGTTAGACTGGACATGGCATGAGCAAGGTGGGATGGAAAGAGCATTCTGATTGCCAGATGGGCCATTGACATGTACTCATAAAAATGCTTGTCAGTGTTGGAGGCTACTTCCTGCAGACCCACTTTGTTGGTAACAAAGAGTCCACGTCTGCTGCATATCCAGCATCAATTAATGAGAGAACTGGATAAAGGCTGTCTTAGCAATCTTTATGAACTGGTGCAACTTAATTTCTTTCCCTGAAAAGTATTTTAAATGTCTTATTTTTTTAAAAACCCGAAATGAAGAAGCTCTAAACTTTGTTGCTTTCCCAAAAAAGAGAACCCTTTCTCAGCTTTTTTTTTTTTTTTTTTAAACTTCCAGCTGCATTTTGGGAATTTTAAGTGTTTCTCATACCTTTATTAAAACATAACATTAGGTGAGGCAGGAAATACTTGTATTAAAAAGTGCAACAATATAACAGCTTAATCCCAGAGTTGGTAAGAATTCTCCTTTTCTTTCTTTGGGTTTTGACAGTCTACATCGGATGTGATGAAAATACACTTAGATGGGTTTGTATTTTCCTTTTGCAGCCTTATCCATGTTATGCAGACTCAAAATAATTTGTATATGTTTTGATTTATGAAAATTCTATATTTTCAAACCTCATGTAAAACTTACTGAAAATATTACTGAATTGGGGTTAGCATTTACAGTTTTGATTAAATTAGTATTCCATTTTTTTTTTTAGAACATTTAAAGTGAATAGTGCCTTACTATGGTGCTGTCATGAGGTAACAGTGCCACCTTCTGGTAATGTTGCTAAATTTAAAATAATTTGTAATCTAGTTCACTTTATTTCTCTTGTCATAGAAATGAGGGAAAGATCTGTAATTGCAGAGGACAGTTTTGAGATTAATATAAAATTTAAGCCAACATTTTTAAATGTCTTCTTTAAACTTTCTGTTTGGAGATACTTATAGATTCACATGTAGTGAATAATAGAAATAGAAATAATAGAGTTTTTGTATATCCTTTATTCAGCCAATAATAACATCCTAAAAATCTGTAGTAAAATATTGTTATCAGGATACTGACAATAAATACAGTCAAGATATGAAACAATTGCATCATTACAAGGACTTCTTAATGTTGCCCTTAAGAGCCACACCCGCATCCCATTTTACAGGTTTGGAAGTAAACTTAGTCATATTAGGCTTAAGATCCAATTCTTTTGATACCAAAGTTTGGGCTCTCAACTATTATGGTATTAACTGCCTTTGTAAAAGTCTCAGAAACTATTTGTTTATATCATCCTATCTCCAGATTATTGAATGAGTTTAAATTTATTTTTAATTTTTTTAATTTTTTAATTTGGGAGCTTCTTTTTTTTTTTTAGTTTAAATTTCATTCAATCTATTTTTAACATTTCCCAGAACCATAGTATTTCAAATGATAGAAATTTGAAAATAATAATTTCTTTATATATACATTTAAATTTTACACTTGAGAATGGTACATAAGTATTCTGATCATAACTTCCCTGAGAGATTGTGAGCCCTGACATTTGACATGTATACATTTAATAAGATTACCAGAATGAGGGCTGTAAAAATTGTTTTAGGATGTCAAATTATCATGTTGGAAATAGTTGTAGGGACAGGTTCTAATTACCTGTAGGGTAGGAAGCTTCTGACCTTCTAATGTAAGCTCTTGGGCAGATCGGTGTCTTCAGTGTCCGGGAGACCTAAGATGATGATGAGGACGTCTTGTCTACAAGGAACCTGAGGAGAGAAATATAAAGTGCGACGTATGATAAAGTCGAGTATGAAAGGTGCAATGGCATGAAAATCCACACGTGCAGAGACCGAGGTGGCCGGTGAGTGACACAGTGAGTGACAGAAGCATCGTGCCAGAGAGGCCCCCAAAAGATCCCAGAAGAGAAGAAAGTACTTAGGAGTAAAAACCATGTGACGTGACGGTACATTTGCAGATACTGATTTTGGATTTGAAGCGTCCAAAGTGATGCTAAAATGTCAATCTTCTCTTAAATGTTGCCTCTTTCTCCCTCCCAAACTATGATACTTGCACCAGTCACTCTAGTTTTTTTTTTTTTTTTGTCACTCTAGTTTTTGTCAGCACGCGTGTGGGGTGGAGGTGGGGTGGGGAATGAGTGGATGGGAAATGTGGGGAACTTTCTTCCATGATTTAGAAAGTTGCCACATCAAAGCCCATTTTTGTCTGGGTCTGGTACCTTCATAATGTGAAAATCTGTTCCCTGTGGAAACACTGTTTCCAAATAGGGTCCATTGGTCCCCGTGACAGGTGTTCCTTTGTGACTTTGACATACATCATGTTCCTTGTCTTGGTTCATGTTATCACTCATGTCCTTTCCTCTCTGCTTCAGCCTGTCTCAAAACAGATTTGGGATTATTATTACTCTGCAGAGTTGGTGCTTTCCGTAGGGTCCCTTCTGACTGTCTTCTGGGTGGGTTATCTGATGACTTCCTCATTTCCTCTATGAAAATGGATGTACTCTGTTCTCTGGCTTATCTAGAATCGGTTCTGAGAAAGTATATTCCTAGGCAATGCTACATTCTCAGTTTTATTTTTTTAAAAGATTTTATTTATTCATGACAGATATACACAGAAGGACAGAAATACAGGCAGAGGGAGAAGCAGGCCCCCTGCAGGGACCCCGATGTGGGACTCGATCCCCGGACCCAGGATCACACCCTGAGCTGAAGGCAAACCCTCAACCACTGACCCACCCGGGTATCCCATTTGCATGGAGGTGAGAGAAGTATACAGTGCAAGAACTCACTTTGTCTTCAACTCAAAATATGGGAACAAATGTGAAGACTGTGTATGGCAAACAGCGATTTCATCTGTGTTTAACCTGGCACCATGGTGATTACAAACACTGACACCAAGACAAAGTAGTATTCAGGCATAAGGAGGCCTCTAAATCAATCTTATGAGTCTTTTTTTTTTTTAAAGATTTATTTTAGAAAGAGTACATGAGCATGGGGACATCTTAGGCGTGTCCCTGTGCCCAGCCCAGAGCCCGACACAGCCCGACTTGGGGCTCGATCTTACCACCCTGAGATCGTTGCCTGAACCAAAATCAAGGGTCTGACGCTTAACTGGCTGTGCCACCCAAGCGCCCCCTTATGAGTCTTTTAAAAATTAAAGTTCAAGTGTGAGATGTGTAATTTCTCATAAAGCACCTGCAATCCCTGGAGAACAAGTCTGAGTTCCCTGTTTGCCAAACGCTCTTCTTCTGAACAGCGTTTAAACCGTTAATGTCCCGGGGCATCTGCCTTCAGCTCAGGTCATGATCCCGGGGTCCTAGGATGGAGCCCCACGTGGGCCTCCCTGCTCAGCGGGGAGTCTGCTTCTCCCTCTGCCTCTCCCCTCACTCATGCTCCCTCTCTCTAATAAAATCTTAACAAATAAACTCTTCATTTCTTAACACCTTGATCTCAAAGCCCTCCCACCTTCTCACACAGCCCTTCTTGTATTCCCCACGTTCCAGTTCAACTGAACCTTTCTTTGTTCCCTGGTTTCCCCACCTCCCTGCCATAGTTCTCGCTGCCGCTCGCGGAAGCCACGGTGCTGGTCATCTTTGCTGTGTAATCCCACCCCTCCTTCAGGTCTCACTAAGCTGCAACTTTCTCCTTGAGGTGTTGGAATCGCTTTCTCAGTTTTCCCACAGCATAAGCCGTGATGACCCCACAATACCCGATTCCCTCTCCCTCCCCATGCCAGCATCCAACTCAGTTCATTGGAACTGGAATCCAACCAATGGCTTCTGCACTCACACTCTGGGCGGACTGGCTTTTCTGTCTCCCCTACAGTGACTCTTAACAACCAATGACTTAAAAATTTGGAAGAGATCAGAACGTGGAAACAGCCCAAACCTAAGTCTTTGTTGGTTAGATGGGTCCAAGAGAGGGGTACGTGGGCCGGGAAGCAGAGTTCAGACACGCTGGGAGGGAGGGAAGGGCCTTCATGCCCACGGTGGCTTCGGCAGTTGCTCACAGCTGTTGGCGGGCCGCAGGCCCCTTGCACACCCGTGCACGTTCCATTTCACATTGAATTTGACACACCCCAGACAAAATAATAAAAGCAAAAAGCGCCTGACCTCCCAACACTTCACTTAGCTCTGGATGAGCCTTGGTGCTCATCTCCAGGCGTGCCAAGGCCTGTTTCCATGTTTGGGATCGGGGGATACAAGCTTTTTTGGACCCTTTGCCCCACGTCACAAAATACCACGGACACATTCACATATCACTATGGATCAGCGCCACCATCTCTAGAGGTTTAAACCTTCAGTCTTGTGTATCTCTATTCCTTTACTGGGCCTTTTGATCGTTTCCAACTTTTTGCCGCCCTCCCAGCACTGCAAGCCCAGGGGTCGTGACCCCTGCACCGGCTTCGCGGGTCTCACAGGTGTGCGCAGCTCAGCGTCAGTCCTGCCAAGCGGCCTTCCAGGCAGGATGCGATCGTTTCTGCTCCGACCGAGTCCGTGAGAAGCTCCTCACATCCGGGACCGTCCTGGGGGCTGTCATTTCTGGCCATCTGATGGGAGAAAAGGATATCTTGTTATGACGTCAATTTATGCTTCTCTGAAAACAAGGGGAAGCCCAGGTTTTCTAAACGTTAATTGGCCATTTCTCTTGGTCCCTTTTGTGGACCGCCCGTGTTTGTCCTCATCTATTTTTCTTATTGCTGCTTGAATTGTTCTCGTTTCCAACAATTCTCTGTGTATGAACTATGACTTTTTGTCTTCTCTTCATCTTCTATATTTTGGTAATATCCTTGTTTGTCACTTGTCTTTCATTTAGGTGCTCCTTCTGTTTATGGATGTCTTTTTTCTTTTTTTTTAAGATTTTATGATAGAGAGAGAGAGAGAGAGAGAGAGAGAGAGGCAGAGACACAGGCAGAGGGAGAGGCAGGCTCCATGCAGGGAGCCCGACGTGGGACTCGATCCCAGGACTCCAGGATCGTGCCCTGGGCTGAAGGCAGGTGCTAAACCACTGCGCCACCCACGGATCCCCGTCTTTTGTTTTTCTTTATGGATTTTGCTTTTGCTATCGTGCTTGGAAAGTAAATTTCCACCCCAATATTAACCTATATACTTAGAGTATCCCTCAATACATTTATTGTGACTTTTTACTCCTAAAAGTTAATTACAGGGATGCCTGGGTGGCTCAGCGGTTGAGCACCTGCCTTCGGCCCAGGGTGTGATCCTGGAGACCCGGGATCGAGTCCCACACTGGGCTACCTGCATGGAGCCTGCTTCTCCCTCTGCCTGTGTCTCTGCCTCTCTCTCTCACTGTGTGCCTATCATAAATAAATAAAAATTAAAATATATATATATATATAAAGACTTTATTCATTCATGAGAGACACAGAGAGAGAGGCAGAGACACAGGCAGAGGGAGAAGCAGGCTCCATGCACCGGGAGCCCGACGTGGGATTCGATCCCGGGTCTCCAGGATCGCGCCCTGGGCCAAAGGCAGGAGCCAAACCACTGCGTCACCCAGGGATCCTGAATAAATAAAGTCTTTTAAAAATTTTTTAAGTTAATTATATGTGGAATTAATTTTGGCAACCAGTAATAACTAAACATCTAATATACTCCCTAACAACCCCAATGTACAAGTTCAGCAGTTTCTCTATGATATTGGCTTTAAAAATCTATGGCTTCCCACCAATTTTTTTTTTTTGCATTTCTTTTTTTTTTAATAACTTAATTTTTATTGGTGTTCAATTTACCAACATACAGAATAACACCCAGTGCTCATCCCGTCAAGTGTCCCCCTCAGTGCCCGTCACCCATTCACGCCCACCCCCCGCCCTCCTCCCCTTCCACCACCCCTAGTTCGTTTCCCAGAGTTAGGAGTCTTTATGTTCTGTGTCCCTTTCTGATATTTCCCACACATTTCTTCTCCCTTCCCTTATATTCCCTTTCACTATTATTCATATTCCCCAAATGAATGAGAACATACACTGTTTGTCCTTCTCTGATTGACTTACTTCACTCAGCATCATACCCTCCAGGTCCCTCCACGTTGAAGCAAATGGTGGGTATTGGTCGTTTCTAATGGCTGAGGAATATTCCATTGTATACATAAACCACATCTTCTTATCCATTCATCTTTCGATGGACACCGAGGCTCCTTCCACAGTTTGGCTATTGTGGACATTGCTGCTAGAAACATTGGGGTGCAGGTGTCCCGGCGTTTCATTGCATCTGAATCTTTCTTCCCACCAATTTGAAATACTACTTATGTCAGTGTCTCAGCCAGTGTGGGCTGCTGTAACAGAATATCATAGATTGGGTGGCTTGAAAACAATAGAAATTTATTTCCCACAGTTCTGGAGTCTGTAAGTCTCAGATGGAGGCACTGACGGCTTTGGTGTCTGATGAGGGCTCTCTTCCTGGCTCCCCGATGATTGATCGTCTTCCCACTGGGTCCTCACGTGGTGGAGGGGGCCAGGCAGCTCTCAGGAGTCTCTCATAAGGACGAGAGTCATGCCCTTCATGATCTATCACCAAAAGCCCACCCTGCTAGTACCATCACCTTGTGTCTTGGGTTCAATACGTTAATTTGGGGAGGACCAGACCTCCAGTCTATGGCATTCAGGCAGCGATTGTTTACACTAGAGTCCATTTCTGAGCTTTCTATGATATGAAGATTTCTCTCCCAATATCACACCCTAATAGTAATTGTAGTTTCCAATACTGTTAGTATCAAAGACATGTTTTTTCTGTTCCGTTTTTGAACCTTCAAATCCTTATTTTTGAGTTCCAAAAAATCCTACTTTTTAAAACCTGTAATTGCACTAAATTTATGATGATGTCAGAGTGCTTGTTCCTGTAAAACCTGAGATGCAACTCTGAGCCTGGCTGTATTTGGTGGCTCTGTGCACAGGTGATTCTCCCAATGAGGGATCCTGCCGGTAGGGTTTGCACTGGGGAGAGGGAGATTTGCAGAGAGGAGGCTGCGTGCATGAAGGCAGAGGGAGTTTGGGTGGGTGCTCTGAACGCAGTGAAGGCTGTGAACAAATCTTGCATTCTGGAGTCAGGAGTGACCTGAAGGACTGTGGAGGAAGGGGGCGCACAGAGAAGGGTGTTCTTCCCATTTCTGTGGAATCTGGTGTGGGCACAGGCCAGAAGGCTGACCTCTCTGCCATACCACTGGTCACTCCAAATAGGCGGTAGTGCTGGGACTGGCTGGTAAGTCAATTGCTGAACTTTGGAGGATTTTGCAAGCTTGTTGTTACAGCCATTTTTTATTTTTAGTTTCAGCGGTAGAACTTAGTGATTCATCAGTTGCATATAACACCCAGTGCTCATCACTTCCAGTGCCCTATTTAATGCCTGTAACCCAATAACCCCATACCCCCACCCACCCCCCCTCCAGCAACCCTCAGTTCATTTCCTATAGCTAAGGGTCTCTTATGGTTTGCTTCCCTCTCGATTTTCATCCTATCTAATTTTCCCCTCCCTTTTCATATGTTCATCTGTTTTGTTTCTTAAATTCCACATGAGTGAAATCATATGTATTTTTCTTTCTCTGATTGACTTCACTTAGCATAATCCCCTCTAGTTCCACCCACATAGTTGCAAATGGCAAGAGTTCATTCTTTTGGATGGCTGAGTAATATTCCATTGTATATAGAGACCACATCTGCTCTATCCATTCTTCTGTCAACAAACAATTGGGCTCTTTACATAGTTTGGCTATCATGGACATTGCTGCTATAAACATTGGGCTGCAGGTGCCCCTTTGGATAACTATGTTTGTATCCTTTGGATAAATACCTAGTAGTACGATTGGTGGGTCATGGGGTAGTTTTATTTTTAAATTTTTGAGGAACCTCCATACTGGTTTCCAGAGTGGCTGTACCAGTTTGCATCGCCCCAACAGTGTAAGAGGGTTCTCTTTCTCTGCATCCTCGCCAACACCTGTTGTTTCCATACACAGCCATTATTAAGATTACACTAACTAAATGTACAGTTAAATATGTTACATTAGGAAGAAAGATAATAAATACAACTCATCATGTCCTAGTTATTTTACTGCACATTATTATTATCATCTGTGCTCTTGCAGTTATTTATATGTACTGTACCTGGAAGGCGGAAATACTACACAATCCTGTGCCCTGTGGTTCTCCTCCCAGCTCCAAATTCAGTAACGCCACATTGGTCGCTGGCCACAGTGGGACTGTTTACTCTGGAAGTTGGCAAATGCTACAAATTAGGGCTTGATTTATTCTCCTGTTGATCGTCTAGACGAGGGGTTGGCACCTCTTTTTGTAAAGGGCAAGATAGTAGATGTTTTCAGTTTTGCAGGCCACGGGCCTCTGCTGAAACTACTAATTCTGCAATTGCAGGGAGAAAACAGCCATGGATGATACAAAAGTGAGTAAGGCTGTATTCCAATAACTTTTATTTGTGGATATTGCAATTTGAATTTCATGAATTTTCTTGTGTCACGAAATACCATTCTTTTGATTTTTTTTCAGCCATTCAAAAATGTGAAAACCATTCTTAGTTTGCAGGTTGTACAAAAACAGGAGATGGATTGATTTGGCCTGGAAGCTAAGTTTGCTAACTCCCTGTCTATAATTAAGAAAGCATTCTGTGAGGGGCACCCGGGTGGCTCAGTCGGTTCAGCATCTGCCTTCAGCTCAGGTCAGGATCCTGGGGTCCTGGGATCTATCCCTGCATTGGGCTCCCTGCTCAGTGGAGAGCCTGCTTCTCCCTCTGCCTCTGCCCCGGCTCATGTGCTCTCTCTCTCTGGCTCATTCTGTCTCTCAAATAAATCAATAAGATCCTAAAAAAAAAAAAAAAAAAAAAAAAAAGAGTTCTGTGAAAATCAGCTGTCCCTATGAAATTCAGTAAAGAGTATTGTATATTTTATTAGTATTGGTAAATCATATGCTACATATCTCTCATATCAGTTAAATTCGTGATAAACTTTTTTTCTCCCCCAGAGAACTGGTTGTTGATATTGAATGGGCCTGAACTTCTAGTGCTTGGCACCTTTGCTTTAGTCCAGATAGTAATAGGATTGTCTCTGGTACTTTATTATTATATATGATGCTGGCTGTTGAGGTATTTTATTTTATTTAAGATTTATTTATTTATTTATTTATGAGAGAGAGAGAGAGAGAGAGAGAGAGAGAGAGAGAGAGAGAGAGAGGCAGAGACACAGGTAGAAGAGAAGCAGGGTCCATGCAGGGAGCCCGACATGGGACTTGATCCCGGGACTCTAGGATCATGCCCTGGGCTGAAGGTCGCGCTAAACTGCTGAGCTCCCTGGGCTGCTATTTTGTTTTGTTTTTTTATTTTATTTTATTATTTTATTTTATTTTATTATTTTATTTTATTATTTTATTTATTTTATTTTATTTATTTTATTTTATATTTTATTTTATTTTATTTTATTTTATTTTATTTTATTTTTTTTTTGAGAGAGAGAGAGCACATGAGCAGGGAGGGGCAGAAAGAGAAGGAGAGAATCTCAAGCAGGTTTCATCTGTGCGGGCCTGACACGGAGCTCCATCTCACCACCCTGAGATTATGATCTGAACCGGAATCAGGAGTTGGCTGCTTAACCAACTGAACAACCCAGGTGCCCTGATATTCTTTATCATGTTAAAGAAGTTCTGTATTTTTAAAACCAAAACAAACCAAAACACAACAACAACAACAAACCTCAAGAATGATATGGAATTTCATTAGATACTTTTTGGGTTTTGGGATGACACACAAAAATTATATTAATACAATTCTGGGGTATCTGGGTGGCTCAATAGGTTAAGCATCTGCTTTCAGCTCAGGTCATGATCCCAGGGTCCTGGGACTGAGTCCCACACAGGGCTCCTTGCTCACTGGGAGTCTGCTTCTCCCTCTTCCCCTCCCTCTCCCCCTGCTCATTTTCTCTCAAAAAACAATCTTTAAAAAAATACAATTCTGAATAACATAGCATTCTTTCATTCTTATTCCATTCTGTAATACAAAGCAGATTGATTTGTTTATGTTTAGTAGCTCCATACCTGTACCCACAAATAATATTGACTTACATATTTTGGGGGGCAAAGGAATGCTTTCTTTTATGTTTTAATTTCAGCATATGCCCGCTTTGTAAAGTGAATTGGGAAGTTTGTCATCTTTTTTTCCCATGTTTTCTCTTGGTTTAAAGAACATAAAACGGTTCATTTAAAGTTTCAAGGAACTCAACCATGAGACCTGTTGGCCTCAAGAATCTTTTTCAGAAGTGATTTTTATTTGTTTTGAAAAATATTTCTTTTTCTCCATAGATACTAGTTTATTTACCTGTTTTTGCTTTGTCAATATTACTAATTTATGATTTATTTTTATTTTTTAAATGTTTATTGCATTTTTAAAAAGATTTATGAAATCTCTGCACCCAGCATGGGGTCTCAAAATCACAATGCTGAAATCAAGAGCCACACGCTCCACTGACTGAGCCAGCCAGGTACCCCTAATTTATGATTTCTAAGGAAATTTCTATTCCTTCCCTGTTCCCACTGTTTCCCTACATTCTAGTCTCACAATGTTTAAAATACCAGTTTGTTTACTTATTGGGTAAAAACCTTTGATACTTTTCCATTGTTCTTAAAACAACAGCTATATCCCATGGTCTAGTCCTGGCTTCCACCTTCCTCCTGCCTTGGGTTTGACGTCAGTGCTACAGGAGGCATCTCATCGCTCCACGTAGAGAAAAGGGGTGAGTCCCCAGGAGGAAGAGCTAGCAGGCGCATGCTGACAACTGGATTTCATTCGGCTTCTGGAAAATTTCCCTATCAGCCTTAAAGGAGCCTTAATTGTTCTGGGATTTTTGCTGACATAATAGAGCTTGGCTCATGACTGATTCTTGTCCTTAGGCTTGAAGGTAGAACAGACATTAATAAATGCTACAAAATGTCTTTGGTTGTGCTCAGCCAGCTTTTCCTCCCAACAGAAGAAATACTGTGCGTGATTAAATTCAATCATTTTCCAAGGGCTTCTTATGGTCAAGAAATTTTGCTGAACTCTGGAGTGTAAGAAATAGGTGAGGGAGACACAGAGAAGTTACCACTATTACAGGGCAGACTGAAGGCCATGTGACAGAGTACCCTGGGTTCTGCGACAGTAACAAAAGTCTCAGAGGTTTATAACCATAGAGGCTTATTGATCAGTTGTGCTATCTGTCCATCATGCTGTGCCTGTAGCTCTGCTTTTCCTTTTTACCCTGGGGCCCAAGTGAATTGAGCAACCTCTGTCTGGAAAATGGTGGCCTTGGAAGAGGGAAAAGTTATGCTTGCTAGCCGTGTAACCACTCCTAAAACTCAAGTGACACGTGCCTTTCAAGCTCACATTTCACTGGCCAGAATAAATGACATGGTCAAGCCTGACGTCGAAAGGGCAGGGAAGTATGAGGTCGAACCATGTAAGAATGTCATTTTATTAAGTCAAAAATGACCAAACATCAGCAATTTTATATGGTTAAACCGACTACAATCCTCCTATAGGGAGGGCAATGAATATTTGAATCTACTCCGTTGAGAGGTACCAGAAAATTGCAAAAGATCTTTAGAAAAAAGTATTGTTTTTTAAATTCAGATGAGGATATACAAAACATTAAAATTTAAAAAATCTTGTATTTCACTTGAGCTGGACACACACAACCAACCCTTCAAGTCTCAATAAATTAATTTAAAATATGCTGAGCTCTTGCTATGTACCTCCTCATTCTGCAGGAAATGCCAGGATAGAGCAGTGAGAGAGACACCTGTCCCCAAGGAGCTGACACTCTAGTCCCTGCCCCAGGGACTGTCTGGTGTGGATGATCTGTAGATAGGAAGTGGGGGGCAGGGGAGGTTGTGGTCTTCCTCTAAGCTCACATGTTGACCAAATTCATTTCCACGCAGCTGTAGAACTCATGATTGCTTAAATTACTGATTAGAGACCTTAATTATTTCTGCAAAACCCTCTGTCTTTGGCATTTAATACAATCTAATCACGGCATCCTATCCACAGTCAAGGGGAGGGGATTTTTACAGGGCGTGTGTACCAGAGGGAGGAAAGCTTGGAGGTGGCCCTAGAATTTTGCCTGCATTGGGATTGTTAGACTTTTTAATTTTAGCCATTCTTGTGGGTGTGTGACATTGTTTTAATCACTGTTTTCCTGACATCGTTGGCCATTTGTAGATCTTCCTTTGTAAAGTTTCCGGCTCGGATTTTTTTTTTTCTATTTGTGTTTTTCTTTTTGTTGAGTTGTGTATTCTGAACATGAGTCCTTGTTTAGAGGCAGGCGTTGTATCTTCTCCCAGTTGATGATTTTCCATTTTTGATGAACAGAAATTCTTCATTTTAATTACGTCATATTTATTGATTTTTTTAAATAATGATTTCTGTGTCCTGTTTATGGAATCTCTGCCTACCCCGGGATCATAAAGATATTTTCCTATCTAGAGCCTTTCTCCTGAACTCTGCATTGTTTTTAATTTTCAAACTTAGGTCTATGATCCGCTTTGAATGAATTTTTATGTTTGATATGGGACCTGTATTCTTTTCCCCCCTCATCTGAATAGCTAATTGACTCAGTGCCATTTATTGAAAAGACCCTACTCAATTGTAATTATACCTGTGCGAAATCAGGTTACTGCTTGACTTCTGAGTCTGATTTGGGCTCCCACCTATTTCAGTGACCTCTGTTTATCTATATGCCAGTACTGAACTGTCCTGATTATTTAAGAATTATGTTGTGACATCTGAACACCGTCTTTAAAGTAGGATCCCGGGAGTCGCCACCTCTCTAGCGTTCACACAGCTATTGCCTTGTGCCAGGGAGCAGGGTGCCGGCCACTAGGGATGGGGACATGGAAACTGGGAAATAAGAAGTGAGTGAATAAGCCATGTCCAGAGACCGACAGACTTGCGGAAGACTTCAGAAAGATGTATGAACATCTTGGTAGACGAAAAAACACGGAAAAGCATCCTCCTTTTAAAGTATCAGAAAATACAGATTTGGAACAATCCATAACTTTTTTGGATTCATTCAGTGCTAAGCACTTGGTGTACACTTAAGCACGCGCCGGGTATGTAGAAGACAGTCACGGGTGGAGTCTATGAAGGATCAGGAGCAGGTGCTGAGCTCAGCGGTGGGACAGGCTGGGCTTGAGGCCTGGGGGACAAGGAGTGACCACAGGTAGGAGCACAGTCCAGTGTTGGGGGGTCCTCAGACGGGGAGCCCCTGCTGCAGGGAGAGCATGGCCAGGAGCTTGGCTCCCACTGATGGAAAAGGCCTGGCTTTCTTACCTTCTCTTCCTTCACCTCTAATTGTCTCACTCCCCCAGTGTTCCTGGTTAGTACAGAAAACATCATCTATCACCCTTCATCCGTCCACCCAGAATTAACCTCGGGCTTTGTTCTGCCCGTGTTTGAGGCCCACGATCAGTTTCTTAACAATCAGGAGCAAACAGCAGGCAGGGTTTTATATCCTGCATTTCTTGCCTCATGTGCTAGCATTCCCCTGGGGTCCTTACTGTGCTTCCTCTGGAATCTCAAACCAGGGAAGTTGGGCCATTAGTGAGGATTTCCTGAATCCCCTTTGAATGGGCACAGTGGTTGGGCTTGGTCTTTCTGCAGTTGAGGGATCAGCTCTCCCTCCCCTCTCACAAGCTGCAGGTGTTTGTGACAGGAAGGCCGGGGCGTTTTTTGGGACCGATTTCTAAAGTGGTGACTCTTCTTTTTTAAGGAGTAGTGAAGTTATTATTTATTTGTTTATTTATTTATTTATTTAATTTTATTTATTTATTCATGAGACACACACACACAGAGGCAGAGACACAGACCAGAGGGGGAAGCAGGCTCCTTGAGGGGAGTCTGATGTGAGACTCGACCCCAGGACCCCAGGATCACGACCCGAGCTGAAGGCAGATGCTCAACCACTGAGCCACCCAGGTGCCCAAGCAGTAGTGACATAATTTAACGACCGGGTGCCAGACACACAGTGTCAGCACTGGGTGAGGTTTGAGCTCCCGGAAACTGCCTCGAAGTAGTAGAGTCCATTAGGAAAGAGGGACACAAGCCTCCACCATGCGAGGTGACAGGGCTTTAAGAAAGGATGCAGAGGGACCAGTGGAAAAGTACCTCGGCCGTGATTCATCGGGGATAGTGCCCTGCTGGTGCCACGCCATCCAGGAGCCGACAGCTGACGGCTGGAGGACACATCAGAAATAGAACCAAGTTCAGGCGAAATGGGTGAAGGGGATTAAGAGCTACCAAAAAAGAAAAAAAAAAAAAAAGAAAAGAATCAATTTAAGGGAGGAAAGTAAATGGAAATCAAGATAAAACATATTACTTCAGTGCTGTACCTGGCCTCTGCTGCAAGCATCTAACTCAACAACCTGCGACCAGCGTGACTAGCACCATCTGGCACAACGTGCAGGTCGGGCTCCCCGTTCCAGACGGCTCCCGGCCTGCCAGGGGGAGGGCAATGCGGTGGCCCATCCGAACACAGACTGGCTGATTAAAATACAGGCTGTGCATTAGACAAATAGAATTCCCAGAGTCACGGAATTTTGGATGTCTAAGGACGTTACCCTGGCTGTGGAATAACAAGATGGTTTAAACATGTATGCACATAGTGTCAACACGTAGAAATGGCCTGTCTGCGGTTCGGAGCCTGATTGCTGGCTCACTGGAGTCTCTGGGGTGGGGGGTGGGGGGGCTCAATCACACCCCCTAGAGGAGTTTTAAAAACAGTTCTATTGAGATATAATTCAAATACCATACAATTCACCATTTACGAGGGTACAGTTCAGTGGCTTTTAGTATATTCACAGATGTGCAACCATCCCCACAATTCTGAAAGCATTCCAATCACCTCCAAAGGAACGCCCTACCCTTGAGCTATTACCTCCCCAGCCCACCAGCCTCTCCGCAGCCCTAAACAACCACTAACCTATTTTCTATCTCTGTGGATTTCATATGAAGGGAATCATGCAATAGGTGGCCTTTCGTGACTGGCTTCTTCCATTTAGTGTCATGTCTGCAGGTTCATCGATTTTGTGTATCAGGTTTCAATATTTCATTCTTTTCTGTGGCTGAGCCATATTTCATCGCATGGATATGGCACATGGACTGGACATCTGGGTTATTTCCTCCACCTTTTGGCCATGACGGACACTGCTGCCATGAACATTCATGTGCAAGTTCCTCCATGGACACGCGCTTCCATTTGTCTTGGTTGGACACCTAGGAGCCAAGTGCCGGGTCCCACGGTGACTCTGATTATCTGAGGAACAGCCAGACTGGGTTTCAAAGTGGCTGCACGGTTTGCCATCCCCATCAGCAGGATAGGAGGGCTCCCATTTCTCGACATTTTTGCCATCTCCTGTTATCATGGTACCTTAAAATTTTTTATTTGATTTAAAATCAATTACTTAACATATAGCGTGTTACTAGTTTCAGAGGTAGAGTTTAGTGATTCATCAGCCGCCTATGACCCCCCAGTGCTCATTCCATCCCAGGCCCCCCTGCATGCCCGTCACCCGGTCACCCTACCCCCCCAGCTGACTTTTTATACAAGCGACCAAGGGGGTGTGGATCAAAACCTCACTGCTCCCACAGTGAAGATTCGGTTTGTTGATGACTAATGATGTTGAACATCTTTTCATGTGCTTCTGGTGCCTCTAGAGTTTTTGATTCAATTGATCTGGGGTATTTTCAAAAAAGTTCTTTATTTTGAAATAATTTATGGCTGAGAGAAAAGTTGTAAAAATAGTATAAAACTCTCACTTACCGTGACCCTCGGCTTCCCCACCTGTCAGCCACACTTGCTCATTCTCCACCTTGGAAACATTTGACAGTGAGTTGCACGCGTGAAGGCCCTTTACCTCTAAATGCTCCCGGGTGTATTTTCTTTAAAAAACAAAAATAAAACTTCCTCTTATGCAACTAAAGTAATCAAAATCAGAAAATCAACACCGATTCACTATTATTTACTAAATTTAATCAGAGTTTGCCAAATTCCAGGATGTCAGCATTTTTTTCTTAAAGATTTTGTTCATGAGAGACACAGAGAGACAGAGACACAGGCAGAGGGAGAAGCAGGCTCCATGCAGAGAGCCCGATGCGGGACTCGAACTCGGGGCCCCAGGACCACAACCTGAGCCAAAGGCAAACGCTCAACCGCTGAGCCACCCAGCGCCCCAGGATGTCAGTATTTTGAAAAAAAAGTGCCACAGAGGGTTCTAATGGACACCAGGGGTCTCTGTCCCCTCCTCCCGTAGAAGAGAACTCTAGAAAGGAGAATGCCCTCCCCAAGGTCACCAACAATTTAGGGCAGAGTTTTCAGGGTGCCCGGCCCCTGAGGCATCTTTGTATAGTTTAGGAAAAGATGCCTCTCCTGGAGCTGAACCAGATGGGCTATTGGCTTGGCAGGGGGACAGGATGTTTGTCATTGTATCAGGCCCCCCATCCTGGCGGGAGGCACATCCTCTGTCCTGCACTGACTACAGCAGAGGGCAGGGTGGGGAGGGCAGGGCTCCCATCTGTTCTGCTTAGTGGGACGCGTGCCCTTCACGCCTGCCCTTGGAGAGTCTGTGCTGGATACCGGGTGGAAGGTGCGGAGCTGCTTAGAGGCAGAGGGGCAACTGTTTCTTTGTTGAACTCCATGGTGCCAGCTGCTAGACCCTGCCCCACACTCCCCCTCCTTCACACCAGTTCTCACCCTGGTCCTGGTGGTCTTTCCAACCCACAAATCTGACTGCTTCCCTTTCCTGACTAAAACCGCCAGATGAGGGGGCCTGGGGGGGGGGCGTAGTCGGTAAAACGTTTGCCTTCAGCTCAGGTCGTGATCCCGGAGTCCTGGGATCGAGTCCCCATCGGGCTCCCTGCTTAGCAGGGAGTCTGCTTCTCCCTCTCCCTCTGCCCCTCCCCACCCCTGCTTGTGATCTCTCTCTCTCTGTGTCTCAAATAAGTAAATAAAATTTTTAAAACAAACAAATGTGGGGATCCCTGGGTGGCTCAGTGGTTTAGCGCCTGCCTTCGGCCTGGGCATGATCCTGGAGACCTCGGATCGAGTCCCCATCGGGTTCCCTGCGTGGAGCTTGCTTCTCCCTCTGCCTGTGTCTCTGCCTCTCTCTCTCTCTCTCTCTCTCTCTCTCTGTGTCTCTCATGAATAAATAAATACAATCTTTAAAAACAAACCAACCAACAAACAAATGAACAAACAAGACCACTAAGTGAAGCCACAGTTCCTCCACATTCAATAAATGGGCACACTGGTTGTCTCGGTTCCGCCCTTCCCCACCCAATGGCCTCGAACTCCTACTCTTAAGACTTGCTCGGGGTCTCACTGCAGAAACCCCTCTGAGGCTGGTTATCTGTCCCTCTAGATGAACACCTCCCCCCCCATTGATACCATCCAGCGTGTGTGTACGCAGATGTGCCAGCTGAGCAGGAGTAGGAGGCCGACAAGGGACAGGAGGGGGACAGAGACTGTTACCCCAAGTGGGGTCTCCAAGCCAACAGCATCAATGTCCCCTGAAACTTATTAGAAATGCAAATCCCCAGGCCCCACTCCAGACCTACTGAATCAGAAACTCGAGGTGGAGCTCTGGTATCTGCGGTACCTACACTTCAGGCAGCCCTCTAGGTGGTTCTGATGCACGTTCAGGTCTGAGAACCACCTCACAGCTAGAATCAGGGTGAATTCAGCCCTTTACTGGTTCAAGTAATTCAAGGTAGATATTCTCTATAGCTGGTAGGTCAAGAACAAAGATTTCTAGTGCACCTAGTATGTGCCGGACAAAGGAAACAGCAAGATGCATCGGGTGGGAGAACATGGATGGGTGGAGGACACTCAGAGCCCATAGGAGGCCAACTGGGGGGCCTCCAGCTGCTGAGCTGGGTTTGGGGTTACACTGATGGGAGCAGAGACCTCGGCCCTCAGTGACCTCTGGCCAAGGCTTCTAGAGTAGCCATTAGGAAAGGGACATCATCCTTATCTTCTCACACTTTCACATTTCTCATGGTCCTATTAGTATAGGGACAGAAAACAAAACAAAACAAAAACCTTTGGCTGTACGTGTGAGAAAATAACAATGCAAGTCTGTAGAGAAAGAATCTGGGCCTTCTAGGTCAAGTTGGCTTAAAATGTTGACACGAAGCACCTCTGAGATTGTCCTGATAAATAAACTCAGTAAATGCTTTTTCATACTTATGGAACTTTGGCCTTTTATATGTATTTTTGTGCCTATATAACTAGATGACAAAATTACTCAAAGACTGAACATTCTCCTTCATTTGCTAATATTTCTTTTTACAAGCACATTTAAAGCTCTGGCTTATAATTTCTTTGACCCAAACTCAAACCTTCTTGCCTAGAAGGCAGCATAGCATGTTCTATACATGACCTTGTTCAGCTTTTATGCTGCTCCAGAGTGACAGCAAATTGACAAGCTGTCATTCATGACACGTTGGTAACTGCCTGTGGTTCTATTTGAACTTGTGCCTGTCTGATTGTTGGTCAAGGAGAGTGGAAACATTTGGTCATATGGCATGCGCTTTTAATTTTCTAGAGCAAATATGTTGGAAAGAGCCGATTAATGCAAACACAGACCGTTGGTCTTCTGCAACTGATTTAGGGGATAGGTTGGTCAAAATTAATGAAAGATCTGAATTATAGATCTTGAAGGCTTGACAAGGAAACCTGGAACAGAAGCCAGGCCAGGATTGGTTCTCACGGGTCCCCCTTTAATGAAAGCACATGAACGTTTTGTGATTTGATATTAGAAATGCTAATGATTCCAGAGTGCCTCTGAAGTTCCCCAAGTTATTTTGAACATACTCCCCATTTGCCTCTCCATTTTCTGCCATGCGGAAATGAATTAATAATTTGTTACAAAGCTACTGGAATATCTTCACTTCTTATCCTATTAGATTACATGAACTGCAGCTTCAATTTAATTCAAAGTGCTTTTTTTTTGTTTTTTTGTTTTTTTTTCATTTTTTTTCATTTTTTTTTTCATTTTTTTTCCTTTTTTTCAAAGTGCTTCTTAACCTGAAATCTAATAACGTATCTATAGTTAAAAATGTCTGTTGCCAAATCCATGCTGCAGCAAGGTGATTCCACCAAAACACATGTCCTCCGGAGCCCGGCGGAGCTCCTCACCAGGGGACCCCACCTGCCTGCTGCCGGGTACTGTCCCCTGGTGACTTCCTCCCCAGCCCTCCAGAATGCAGCTCAGTTGGCATCTTTAAAAATCCCAGTTCTTCCCTCCCATGGAGTTGCCTCTGGTCACCCTGCACTTGTTTTCTTATCCTTCTCTCCAGTGTGATAGGCACTAGTTTCATACAGCTAATGGGGTGCGCTCATGAGGTTACACTTAAAATGAATTAAAATGAAATTCAAATAAAAATTCCATTTCTTAGCTGCATCTGCCACATATCTAATGCTCAGTAGTTAGGGACACGTAGTTAATGGTGACCGTCTTAGAGACGTAGAGACCGTTTCCATCATTGCAAAAATTCCTAGACTTTGGGCTCTGTTACTTAATGCCTCATCTCAGCGTCCGGCAGAGTGTCCAGCATATGGCCGATGCTCAAGAAGTTTCTCTTGAACTAAACCAAACTGAACCCATATGGTGATATCTTCAGAGACACAGGAGCAGGGTGTGCCTTTTGTCAACGGAGGTCATGACTTGCCGATGGGAGTAATGGGAGTGTGCACAGTTCTCTGAGGGAAGGGAATCAAAACTGGCTCAGGAGCCGCCTTTTACCTGGGCAGCCTGTCCCCAAGCCACGGTTCTGTCAATGTGGAGGGGGTGGGAATGGACACTAGGGGAACCTGGGGCATGTCTGCCACCCTGTAACCAGAGGACAATCTGGCCTGAAGGGCAGTTTGGGTGACATCATGGAGCACTCTGGATGTCAGGTGAAGAAGTCTGGATTTCCATTTACTGGGATTGTGAGCCCCTGAACATTCCCGAATAGGGCAACTATAAGATTGTAGCAAGAGTCAGAATTATGACTCTAGCTCCTTAGGTTGTAAGTCCTGTGGATTAGGAAAGGCAATGTGAGGCCCCAGCCATTCTGGGTGTCTCAGACTTTCAGGAGAACAGAGGCCCCAAGTGGAAGATTTTTCTCTTTGGGGGCAGCAAGACATGGTTGCTCTGTGCAGGTTCAGAAACCTCATTTCCTAATGGAAGCTTTGTCAGCCTCGGCGTTTTGTCATTTATTATTCATGAACAGGCTTGACTCTGTCCAGACTTAAAGCTCAAATGCAGCAAATTTGGGCTGCAGAGAAAACGGCAGGGAACTCATCCTTGTGGCTTCGGAACTATCCCCTTTGCTCTGGAAAAATCTTCTCTAGGAATCTGTGCCAAGACCCGGTGAGAAATGAGTTTTCACGTTGTATCCAAAAAGTGCATCTTGTAAGAAACTGTCTTTAAAAATGGCATCGGAGGGGGAAGGAATAAAAGAAGGAGTAACTTTTTCAGACCTAAAGCGTTACTTCTAGAAATGGAAATGCTAGGATTAAGGCATGAGCGATCAATGATGGGGTCTCGATGCCAGGTTTCAACTGAATTATTCTGTGTCCTCTTATACATGGACACACGCAGGCACACATACACACAACACCCTCCCGAGTGGACTGTTCAGGATCTCCTTAGTCCTTCCGGGGGGACTTTCCTTTCTCTGAATCAAAGGTCTTGGCAGGGGGGCCCCAGCAGGCTGTTAACATAAGAGCAGGAGGGTGAATGGCAGTCACACCTGGGAGATGATGTGACGTGACGGTGGTCTTTCTAAAGCCTTGGGTACCGTGAATTCTGCTCGTCGGGTATGGCTCAGTTTTCCATTCCTCCCTCTGCTGACTCCTTGATGCCACCACCGGCATGGGTTCCAGCGGCAGGGTGGTGCCATCTTCCTTCCCTGGTAGAAAGGCCACACGGCCTCCGTGGCTTGAATTTCCTGATCGTTGCATCTGCGAACATCTCTTCCAGGTTGTGAACCAACGCAGGAGTAGTTTTGTGGCCACAAACACCCTTGGTTAGTCACTAGATGCACAGTCACCAGATGTTCCTGGGGAAGGTAACAACCCTGAGGTTCTTTTTTTTTTTTAATTTTTATTTATTTATGATAGTCACACACACACAGAGAGAGAGAGAGAGGCAGAGACACAGGCAGAGGGAGAAGCAGGCTCCATGCACCAGGAGCCCGACGTGGGACTCGATCCCGGGTCTCCAGGATCACGCCCTGGGCCAAAGGCAGGCGCCAAACCGCTGCGCCACCCAGGGATCCCAACCCCGAGGTTCTTAAACAATTTATCAAAACTCACAGAATGAAAGGCCCAGAGTGGGATTTTTGACTCCCAAACCCATCAGAGGGCCTGGTTCTGGCAGCTTCACAGTGTCCCACTGACTCACCCTGGAGAGGAAGAGGGGCGTTTTGGGAGGAGGGAAGAGCACGAGCAAAGGCATAAAGGTTTTAGGCAGGAGAAGGCAGGTTCCAGAAAATGCAAGTTATTCAGCAGGGGGAGAGTCAAGTGTGTGTGGTGGGGAGATAGGGTGGAGAATGGAATGAGGGGGAGGGGGTAACGGGACTCAGTGGAACCATCAGGGACTTGTCCTCTGTTAGGGAAGATGCCAGGAGCCGCACCCAGCATTGCAGTTTTACTTTTAATCTATTTCACTCCAGCGGCTTGGCTGGAGAGTAGAGGATGGGGTCTGGCTTAACTTGTATGTAGTGTGACCCTGGGGGAGTCACTTCTTTCTAGGCCTCAGTTTTCTCATCTGTAAAACTAGAGTATTGGACAAAAAGAAGTTTTCGCCAATTTATTCATGATCGCAGGCCGCCTTAATTTACGGCTCGCTGGACTACAGAGGGTAGCCTATTGGCTGATCAACTTTGTTCATTATTTCCCTCACCCCTATGCACCCCCATTTCGGGGTAATCACAGCTAGCCAGCCACTCAGCGCCCCATCAGCGGAGCTGCACCCTCTCCGGTGCCCAGGGTTGATTGGCCTCTGGGTCAAGATCTCTCTTTCCACAAGGATGCGGTTCCCTCTTTAGGAAAATACTTCCCTAACATCTCTCTCAAGCTCCGCACTGCCCAACCTCCTGTTCCCCAACTCCTGGTCCCAGGCGCCCCTCTGGACCCTGGACGCCCGCTTGGCTCTCATTTGGGAGGTGCTGTGGGCAAGGGCGGTTATAAATATTTGGATCCTACTTCTTAAAACTATTTTTATTGGAAAAATATCCGCGCGCAAGGGAACCACCCAAATACAAAAAAAAAAAAAAAAAAAAAAATGGTGCCAAAATCCTTAAGCGTCCTGCGCACCCTCTCACACCTACTCCACCCCGCGCACCCGCCCTGGGGCGTCTCTGCCTGGGCAGGGCGAGTGCGAACCCGCCTCCTCCTGGGTCCTCACGCCTAAGCTTCGTCCCTCCGCTCCGCATTGGCCCAGAGGCCGCCGCCCCGGGGGCCTGGCGCCACCAGCGCCCCAGGACCCACCTCCGGAGTCGCCCCGGCCCCTCCAGGTGATGCCCCGACTTGCATGTGTCCGGAAGGATGCACCGAGGGCCCTCAAGCGGAACATCAAAGACGAACTCCTTTATTTAATAACAACGTTTTCGGGTGATGATGCACGTGGTGCAAAACTGAGGCGGCGCCGAGCCCCCCTGTCACCCGGGCCTCCCCGGGCCTCCCCGAGCCCCCGCCCCCGGCTCCGGGGCGCACCCGTAGCACCTTTCTAAGGGAGTCTACCATGAAGGATCATGTTCTAATTACTTCTGCTCGCTGCTTTCTCACGCAACCGTGGGTCGGGGCGCTGGCTTCCCGCCGTGGCCGCGGTCGCGCGTGCCGGACACGGGGGTCGGGGCCAGGGAGGGGCCCGACCGCCCCCTCCCGAGCGCGTGGCCAGAGCCCCGGGGCCGCCCCGCGCCCCCGCAGCCCGAGCGGCTCCCCGGCTCCCCGGTCCCGCGGGGGGACTTCCTCGGGGCCGCGGCAGGTTTCCCCTTCGCAGGGTGTTTTAAGCTCGAGGCTCGCGAGCGGCGCGCAGGGGACCCGCGAGCGGCGCGCAGGGGCGCGTACCCGGGAGGGCGGACCCCGCCCGCCCCGCCCCGCCCTGCCCCCGCCGCGGGCCGTCCCCGCTCGGCCGCCCGCCCGCCCCCGCCCGCCCGCCATCCGGCCCCCCCGCGCCCGTCCCCAGCGCGGCTCGTCACCGCCGCGAGGCCAATGGGCTGGGCCGCGCGGCCGCGCGCACTCACAGCCGCTCCGCCCGGCGCCGCTCTCCGGTCCTCGCCAGCCCGCCCGCCGCCGCCGCCGTCGGAGCCGCCGCCGTCGGAGCCGCCATGCAGCCCCCGCGCGCCCCGGGCGTCCCGCCGCCGCCGCCGCCGCCGCTGCTGCTGCTGCTGCCGCTGCTGCTCCTCGCGGCGCCCGCCCCCGCGCAGCCGTCCCGGGCCGGACGCTCGGCGCCCGCGGCCGCCGGGTGCCCGGAGCGCTGCGAGCTCGCGCGCTGCCCCCCGCCGCCGGGGCCCTGCGAGGGCGGCCGCGTCCGCGACGCGTGCGGCTGCTGCGAGGTGTGCGGCGCGCCCGAGGGGGCGGCGTGCGGCCTGCAGGAGGGCCCGTGCGGCGAGGGGCTGCGGTGCGTGGTGCCCTCCGGGGTGCCCGCCTCGGCCACGGTGCGGCGGCGCGCGCAGGCCGGCGTCTGCGTGTGCGCCAGCGGCGAGCCGGTGTGCGGCAGCGACGCCAACACCTACGCCAACCTGTGCCAGCTGCGCGCCGCCAGCCGCCGCGCCGAGAGGCTGCACCAGCCGCCGGTCATCGTCCTGCAGCGCGGCGCCTGCGGCCAAGGTACCCGCGCGCCCCATCCCGGGCCCCAACCCCCGCCGGCCCCGGCGAGCAGCGTTCGTTCCTCGCGGCCCCTCGGAGCCCCGCTCCGCGCCCCGCTCCGCGCCCCGCTCCGGGGCCAACTCCGCGCGCTCCGTCCCGCAGCGAGACCCCCCGCCCCGCCCCGCCCCGCCCCCGTCCCCGTCCCCGTCCCCACGGGCCCGGCCGGCTGCTGGGTGTCCCGCGGGGCAGCACAGCGCGCCCGGGAACGGGCCGAACCGGACAGGAGCGCGCGCCTGGAGTCGAGGGGGCCGGGGGGGGGGGGCTTGCGCGGGAGGCGTCGGGACCGCAAGCACCGGGCGCTGTCGCTCCGCCGGCCGCTCCCCCCCCCCCGCCCGCGCCCCTGCAGCTTCCCCGGCGATCCCGGGCGCGCGAACGCGAGGGCCGCGGCGCTGCCGGAGCTCCGGGCGGGCTCGGGTCCAGCCGCGCAGACTTGGCCGCGCCGCCGCCCGCTTCCCGTGCTCCGAGCCCAGCCTCCCAAACTGAAAGTGGTTTTGGGGAATAAGCCGAACGGGGCCTCTGGGTGGCGGAACCTGAGGCAGGGGCTGGGAGGCGGGTGAGGGACGCAGAAGTGGCCCCCTCCGCCGTCCTTTCGCATCTTTTCTGTACCAACCAGACTGTCTGGGTCGGGATGGGGCGAGGGCTGGGGAAGCTGTTTCTCTCGCGGGACCTTCCGGAGGGATGCTTCTCGCCTCCAGCCCAGGGACCTTGTGGAAAACGGTACGGAGCTCAGCTGCGGCCAATCCAGAGGTGCAGGGCCGGCCGGCCCCTTGGCTGGTGCACTTGGCCGCAGCCTCCCAGCACCGGCAGCGCCTGGAGAGGGGGAGAGGGGCAGTGCATGGAGGGGGGAGAGGGGCAGTGCACGGAGGGGGGAGAGGGGAAGTGCATCGAGAAGGAGAGAGGGGCAGTGCATGGAGTGGGGGCAGTGCACAGAGAGGGGGAACGGGGCAGCGCATGGAGGGGAGCAGTGCACAGAGAGGAGCAGTGCATGAAGTGCAGAGAGGGGCAGTGCATGGAGGGGGGAGAGGGGCAGTGCATGGAGGGGGGAGAGGGGCAGTGCATGGAGAGGGGGAGAGGGGCAGTGCACAGAGAGGGGGAGAGGGGCAGTGCATGGAGAGGGGGAGAGGGGCAGTGCACAGAGGGGGGGAGAGGGGCAGTGCATGGAGTGGGGAGAGGGGCAGTGCATGGAGAAGGGGAGAGGGGCAGTCTCTCCAGGCACTGGTCTGGGTTTTCTCTGTTGGAATAGACTCCAACATGACCAACTAGGGCCTGGCACAGGTCGGCTAACACGGGGAGAAAGGAGCCAGAGTTGTGTAGGAGAGATTGGAGGTTGTGTGGTCCAGCAACAGGGGATGGGGAGCCCAGCCTCTGCCCTCAGAAGGGAGCCCAGTTAGGGGCAGCAGGAGACTTACCCTGGAGAGAAATGATCCCCACAGGGACTGAGGTACGGGTGTGACAAGGCACAGGTAGGTGTGTCCCAGTCCAGGTGTTACGCATGTGACTTCACTTGGCTTTGCAGGCTCACGAGGGGAGGGCTTCTGCTATCACCCCCTTTCACAGTTAGAGGAACTGAGGCTCAGTGACTTGCCCAAGGCCCCTCAGCTGGAATTTGAATGCACACCACCTTACTCCGGGCCAGCCCAGTGCCCAACCCCAAGGCTGAGAAACGGAGGCCAGGCAGGGTGAAGGAAGTTTCCAGAGGGTCGGGAAAAGCATTCCAGGCAGAGCAGGGAACAGCCTGGGCAAAGCCTGAGACTTGCTTGGGAGCTGGCAGATAGATTGATGTGGCCGGGGCATTTGGAGAGGGCGGTGAGAGTGGCCCAGGCTGGGGGCGCAGAGCCGCAGCCCCGAGAGGCCAGCTGTGCTATGTACTGGGATGTTCTGTTCTTGGACCCTGGCAGCTTACAGAAATCCCAGTGTGTGGGGCACCTGGGTGGCTCAGTTGGTTAAGCATGTGCTTTCGGCTCAGGTCATGATCCCACGGCCCCAGGATCGAGCCCCGCATCGGGCTCCCCGCTCAGCAGAAGGCCTGCTTCTCCCTCTCCCTTTGCTTGCTGCTCTGCCTACTGTGCTCTCTCTCTCTCTGTCAAAGAAAGAAAGAGAGAGAGAGAGAGAGAGAGAGAGAGAGAAAGAAAGAAAAGAAAGAAAAAGAAAGGAAGGAAGAAAAAGAGAAAGAAAGAAAGAAAAGAAAGAGAAGTCCCAGCGTAGGACTAACCTAGCAGCGGAGCGCAGAATGCACCAGGGAGCAAAGTCAGGGTCACCGCAATAGTCTGGGTGTGAGGTGACGATATTAGGAAAGCGGAGTGCATATTTTTGTCGAAAACAAGCCAGCTTGGGCAGCCCGGGTGGCTCAGCGGTTTAGCGCCGCCTTCAGCCCGGGGCCTGATCCTGGGGTCCCGGGATCGAGTTCCGCATCGGGCTCCTTGCATGGAGCCTGCTTCTCCCTCTGCCTGGGTCTCTGCCTCTCTCTGTGTGTGTGTGTCTCTCATGAATAAATAAATAAAATCTTAAAAACCACACAAGCCAGCTGTTACCGCGTGTAGTCTCGCTGCCCGGGGTCCTGAGTAGCTGGCAGCAGCTGAGCACCTGATTTATGGCCCGTGAGGTGGAGTCACTTAGCGAGCTGCGGACTTGGCAGAGGTTTTGAGAGTCGCCTTGGGGAGAGGAACGCGTCCTTGCTCCCAGAGAGCCCGCGGGGGGACAGCCACAGCCACGGGAGGGTGAGTGGGCAGGCCCGAGAGGAGAGACAGAGGGGCCCGGGCTGTTCTCACCCTTTACTCTCTTTGCAAATATTTCCTGAGCTGCTGGGTGTTTCCGTCCGGCCCCCAGCAGGCACCTGTTAGGTAGGTGGGTAGATGGTGAGTGAGCGCTTCCAGAAACCAGAGACGCGGGGCCCTGCAGACTTCCCTTCGTGGAAGGCTTTGGCCTTGCCACCCCTTCCCACCAGGCGCTCCCCCCTTGGCTTCCCAGGGGAACCTCTGAGGACTGGGCCCGGGAGCCAAGACTTCATTCAGTCGAAGCCCTGCCTGTGAGCAGGTCACTTGACGTCATTGTTGAATGAGGTGAATTGGCTGCGTGCTCTGGCGGGGAGGCTGGCAGGGCTGCTGTTTTCCCCGAGGTGGACACAGGAGGCCTGGAGTTGGAGTGAGCCAGGCCGGGATGTGGGGAACGGGCTCCCTAGGCAGGAGCACGTCCCATGATTTCCAAGGGAGGGTTTCCCAGGAGCGGAGAGCGAGGGAGAAGGGAGCAGGAAATGCCAGCAGACCAGGGGGCCCTGGGCAGTTGAACAGCTTTTTGGAGTCATGGTGCATCTTTGGAGGGCGGAATATGTCACCATTTGAAAGAAAGCCCTTTGGGGTGCTTGGGTGGCTCAGTGAATTGAGCGTCTGACTTTGGCTCAGGTCATGATCTCAGGGTCCTGGGATCGAGCCCTGCATCCAGCTCCCTGCTCAGCCGGGTGCCTGCTTCTCCCTCTCCCTCTGCCCCTCCCCACCACTTATGCAGGTGCGCTCACGCTCTCTCTCTTTTTCTCAAATAAAATGTCAAAAAAAAAATAAAAGAAAGCATCTTTATCTGTACACCGTTTAACAAAGACTTCAGGCAACGTCTCCTGAAAATGGTTCTGGAAATCAAGGCAGACCCTCTGTTTCAGAAATCAGTGCTGCTGTCAGGATTTGGTTGGGAAAGCGTCCAATTCTCCTGGAGAACAAAGATCTCTCCTCTTCCACCATTAGCGGTTTGGATTAGTTTAAAGCAAAAACTCTCAACTGTCAGGAAATTATAACAAAGAAAGGAATTGGAATTAATATAACAGTATAGTAATAAAAGCTAGTGTATATTTAGTGCTTGTTCTGTGCCAGACATATGTTAACTCCTTTTGACCCTCCTAGAATTGCATGAGGCGTGTGCTGGAATCTTCCCTGTGTCCTAGCTGGGAGACAGAGTCACAGAGAAGTTCCTTGTCCAGGACTTGAACCCATGTATCTGGTCCAGGGCCCATTCATAATCACCATGCAGTACTGTTGACAGAGAAACTAAGGTTATACGCCAACTTCAGCTAAGCCGCAGCTAATAGCTGGAATAAACAGTGCTCCAGATGGCCATGGCCTTGAGATGAAATGTAGGACACCTCCCAGCTCTCATTCCACAGGCACGGGAGTTGGAGGACACGGTTGTCCCCAGTTATCATCAGTGCAGCGCTTGCTGCAGAAAAGCCAAAGAGCAGAAGGGGCTGGAGTCAGGATGTTCTGAACCAGAGCCCCAGGCCGCATACTGCTCTTGGGGGGGAGAAGAGCCCCTCTGGATTCCCAGACATTGCAAAAGACTAGTCTGGATGTGTAGCACTGCAGATCTCTGCCAGAAAGCGGACAAGAAGCCAGGAAAGAGGCCTGAGAAAGACATCCCCAAAGCAGCAGGCTCCCCCTACGGGAGAGCCCACCCCACCTGAAACAGCAGCCCAGACAGGCCTAGAGCTCTCCCCATCCTGGTGCTGGCACCCCTACCCCCAGGCCTGATGAGGGAGGGCCTCTGAAGGTGGGGCCTGGCTGTGCATTCCTGGAGAAGAACCACCGGCTTAGAAGAAAGACTGTCTTTTGAACAGTTTATGAGGCTTTGCTCTCTCTGCTTGGTTATTTGCTTTTTTTCTCTGTCGGTTTTGCTAAAGAGTTAAAATATTGAGGTTTCACAGAAGTAGTAAGTTAACAGTTTCGAGAGCCAAGCATTTGAGTAACTTCTTTCCATCCAGAAGAGCTGTAAATAGGTTGCATTAGAGCTTAAAATAACTGCATTCAGTAAGTGATTATGGTGGGGACCATGAGCTAACCATGGTCAGACGTCCGACAGCGTCCGGACGGCAAGGCTGGATTCTGAGTCCATTTGGAGTTTATGTGATCCTGGACACAGTTTCATGCCTTGGATTGAGAAATCAGACTTTTCCATGAGCTTACATTTCAAATGAATAAATA